AAAATAACAATTTTGAAGTCAACTAGCTAAAAATAGTACATGTATTATGATTCTCAAGATGAATGTCTACAAATAATTAATGATTTGTAAGCATAACTCACATTACCAGTTCTTTGTATTTTTTTCACCAGAAGAATTAATCACCATCATCAACCATGAAAATAAAATACATCTTGTTTGTAATAAAATACGTAAATTTTTAAGTGTAACTATATGAATATATCAGATTATAGTAATACAATTTACAAGAAAAGGACTGAATTTTTTACATGATATCAAATCAAAGTAGATCAATATGGACATTGGTTTGCTTGAAGTTGAGGAGTGAAAAAATATCACAGTATATGAAAGCTGGCAAATATCATATATAAAAATTAAAAAAAAATTAATTGTGGAAAACAAACACATATCAAAATCACATCAACTAAGAATAAGATTTCAAGCATCTGTCTTTACAATGATAATACAGCAACAACTGTATCAAATGGTTTCACATTTCTTATGACAATGTTTAGGTTTATACAGAAAAACGATTTTAGAAAAGTCAAACTTATTTTATATTTTTGAACACTATTACTGATGATTCATTCTAAAGATAAAAACTTTGTCATCATATAACATGGTTGATGTTAATATCAGTTTTGATAAAGCACGGCTGGTTTATAGATATATTTTAAAGTTTTTGACAACAAAATGTTGCTTTCTAACTAAATTTGATTTATTATTATTATATATTTTGTGTGAAAAATAATAAGTATGTTGATTTGGGTCAGTTATAAATAATGAATGTGTTGGTAATAAATTGTTGTTGATTAGGGTCATTTCACAAGATTAATATTTTAAAATATATAATTAGATATATATTTGACACAACTTGTTAAAGTACTTGAAATTTCATATCTTAAAATTTCTAAAATTTTGCATGATCAAATCAAATATATGAAACTCAATTATATTGGTTTTTTAAATACTTCATTATTCTCAAAACAATGTTACAAAAAATGTAAATTATATGCTTTATTTTACACTATATATATGTCTATCCATGAATATTTTGATTTTTATCACCCGATGCTTTTATTTTTTTTATAATTTAGTAATAGTTAAAACATGGTATTTGAATATAAATTTACGTATTTTTTTCTAATAATAGCAAATATTAAATCTCAAAGTTGTTTTCCTTTCTTAATTTACGAGTCAAATTTATTTATCTATTCAGTTGCAATCAATCAAGCTGAATTTATCAATCTAATCTATAATTGAAGATGATAGAAACAATTGATAATCATGTACTTTGGTTTTATTCATATGATTAGGTTAAATATTTACAAAAATTATTTTTTTTCTGAGAAATATTAATGATTGATGAAATATGAATGATGAAACATGCGTCTAATATGTTTTGTGTAAAAAGTTTGAACAAATACATTCAAAACTTAAAATGCTCATTTTTTATTTGACCTAGATGAAATGTTATGGTTTTATTTCGTTTTTTATTTCATAATGTCATAGATGAACTTCATGTGGGTGTACATACAACTCTGAAAACCAGGCAAGGTCATATTTTATTGATATGAGCTAGATTACATGTACTTCTCAAAGGATCGATTGAGATGAAGAAATTTCTTTTTAATATCGTTCGAATGTTCGATTTGTATAACCCATTTCATGATATCAATTTATTATATCGGAAAAAATCGTAATTTCACATGCGAATAATTCATCGTAAAACGTGTTTGAAAACTATCATAGCCTTACAGCATAATTCTTTTTTCAGTTTTCCCAAAAGACGAAATGACCTTCTCAATTTTATAATGACTTGTAGTCGACTGTCTTCTTCTGTTTTGAAGTTTGGTGAAATAGAATCTAACAAGAAAACGGACGAAGATGAATGAACGTTGTAAGAAGGAATATAGATTTTGAGGAGCAGTGTGTTGGTTTTATCGAAGAAGTGATAGGCAAGGAACAAGACGAGAACTTGCTCATTCTGATCAAAAGCAACAGAAGCAGACAAAAGGGAGGGAAAAAAGCTGAAGGTTCTGCATGGGAACTGTAATTATTGAGGAATTACAAGAAAGAGAGACACGAGAATATAAAATGCTCCGGTGGATTATTATTAGGCCTTGTGCATCACATGGTTTTTTGTTCCCTTGAGCATCTCGTTTCTGCTGCGTCTGACCTGTAGCGCCAACAAGCAATCATCAGAAGGAACAGCTCGCTAGCCTACAAGTCAATATTCTTTAGCCTCCAAAAGCTACCATAGACGGGATGAGCGCGTTATGAGGTGGGCACAGGGCCATATATTTCGACATTTGAACTTCATGCCCTGTTACAGAAGCCCAAAAAAGTCTAATTGGCCGTCTCATTCTTTCGCTTATTTTATCTCTGAAAGTTCCCAAACTGCCATGCAGCTCGCTTAAGCTTTTCTTCAGTGTGCACTCCACAGTGCAGATCTGATCTCCTGATGATCTTCTGGAGATTGTCTCTCCTCCGTAACCAGACAATATAATCCTCAGACGTAATATTTCCCCCCGAGGCCCTTTGTGAAACGACATGGCTTTTTGTCCTGCTGGTTTCCGGGGCTCCAACTTCTTGCTAAATATGTGCACATTCTTCTCAGAGGCCTGCTCTAGGCCTGCTCTTTGAAGTCAATGGTACTCAACTCCCATGGCCGGATTCCCCATGCAAGCTTTGCCATTGTTTCTTTTCTAGTTTCACCCCATTCCAAGACGTTGTTCCGAGTCCCACTCAGCAATTATTAGTCGAACGCTTTTATTTATTTATATGCTCGGAACGTAGTTCCGAGTCCTACTGAGTAATTATAATCAGACGCTTTTTTTGTTGTTGTAGTTAGGGAGTGATTTTTCTCAACGGCAGAAGACGTAGTTCCGACTCCTACTGAGCAATTATAATCAGACGCTTTTTTTTTTGGTTGTAGGTAGGGAGTGATTTTTCTGAACGGTAGAAGACGTAGTTCTGAGTCCTACTGAGCAATTATAACCAGCCGCTTTTTTTTAATATATATATATATAGTTAGGGAGTGATTTTTCTGAACGCTAGAAGACGTAGTTCCGAGTCCTACTGGGCAATTATTTTTTAACGCTTTGATTAATGAATAAATTAATTTTTAGATCGAGGAAGGGAGTGATTTTTCCGTACGGCAGTACCCGAAGGCGAATTTTTTATGTTTGCCGAAGGAGAGAGAGAAAGCGGAAACTCCTCGGCTACTTATTTGGCATTTCTCTCGAGGCTGGTTTAATTTCGAGCTTCAATACGGTCAGAGAGAGGCGATCCTTGGGGTTCAAGAAATCCGAGGCGATGCGGTGAATATTCTACATGCGGAGATATTTCAGTGCCACCAACCAGTTGGCTGAATATACCTAACGAATGTAATGCTCCTGCGTTGGATTCCAAAAGTGGAAGGATCAGAAGGAGCAGAACGAGAAAGGTTCGAGCGGGTGAATCGTGGTTTTCACCAGCAGGAGGGGCAAAATGAGAGTCAAAATGCACTGTTGAATCCGGAGGATATTTCCTCTGGATTTGACTCGGGGCTCGGGGCCTGAAACCGTACGCCAATGTTGCGTCACCCGCGGTCAATAAAAATATAATTTAGCTCTTCATCGCCCACCATTTTAATTGATCCTCCACAGTTACAGAAAGTCCTTGGGAGAGAAAAGTATGGAGGAAGTAAAATCCTTGTTTCGATTCGCTGGTGACGCTCTCGTATTTGACCGGAACCCGTCGGGGCACATGCAAAAGGGGATGGTGGAATGTTGAGGATGGGCATCGATGTAGAGACAGCGGTATGCCAGAAGGGGAGAAGGCGACACGGTAAGATAAGAGAAAGGACGGAAGCGAAGGAGGCCAACGGGAAACATGGGGCGCGGCCCGGTGCAGACAGCAGGCAGGCAGCAGAGGGTCGCCCGGGGGGCGCGGGGGCGGACTGACGAACTGCATGCGCAACGTGGTTCGCACTGACGGACCGCCTGAACTTGCATGCATAACGTGGTTCGAGTTCGGCGACCATGCCTGGTGAGCGCGAGCGCATCAGCAGCGCCCTTTTAATAGGCCGACACGATGACAGGCACAACAACGCCGGAAAAGGCAACGCTGGAGCACACTCGCACTACGTTGACTCTCGCCGCGGACGCTTGTTGACGATGTGGTAACAATCCCCGACGCGGTTAACCCTCCCTTCCACACTTCCACACTTCCTCCCTTCTTCTTCTGTCCAGACTGAACATCGTCATCATCATCGTCCACTCGACAGCTCCAGTTACCGAGTTACCACGGTGGTGCGGAACGTGGTAACCACGCGCGAGGCCAATGGCGAGAGGGCGCCGGGCCGCAGTCAAAACTTTCCCGTGTCGAGAAAAGCTTCGCCAACCTTTGGTCGCCAAAAGCGCCTGTCCCTGTCTACGCCCGTCGGCCTTTATTTAGAGCTTTTCAGGCTTAGGCCTGGGGGAATTCCATCCTGTTCCCTAGTTTGCCCCCCGGTTTAGGCCCCCCTTTAGGTCCTTAGCTGCTGCACAGCCGTAGCCGTGATCATGACCAGATTTAGGCCCGAAGATTTGGCAGTCCCCTCTCTCTCTCTCTCTCTCTCTCTCTCTCTTCTGCTGCTTTCTTCTTCATCATTAGCAGCGAGGAGTGGGAACAAAACGGCCGAAGGCGGAGTGGTCGGTCATTTGGACGTAGTCCGCAATTCCGGGCCGGGTTAGCGCAGTCTGGATTGCGTGGTAAGCGGTGGTCGAAGGAAGGGCCGTAGTCGCTAATCATGACGCCCAGGAGGCGTTTAGGGCTTCGGTGGAGGCGCAGATGCCTCGAGATTCGAGAGAGTTCTTCAGGAGCGTGTGGTTTCCTCGTCCTCCCATTCTCATTGGGACTTGCACATTCTTGCCGAATTTCCTTCGTGTGGACGAGGCGGACGTCTCGAGGAGCCAGCGGAGAGCTGCATGCGCTGATACTCTCACGACAACGGAGGGAGGTACATACACTACATCGCTTGGCGCTTTTCCTTGTCCATGGAGTTTCATCCTTCGTCATTCCCTCATCATCTTTTGACTCTGGAGGCATCTTTTTAACTTCTTAAGTTCATTTGAGGCTCGAGATGCTGATGACTTTTCCTCCGAGCACTTGTACTCGCATCTCTTCAAGTTGTCGTTATTTTCTTGAGTACAAGAATTTGTCTCCCTCTCCCTCTCCACTCACTTTCATCCGCTGCTCCAATTCTATTCATTCCACGTTCATTACCTCATGGAGTAGTGCCTGCAAAGAAATAGAGTGGATTTCCTATCTTGGCCTAAATTCTGCTTTGGCGATGGCTGCGGTAGGGTGGAATAAATAAAATGACGCAAAATGGGTCAACCAAATGAGGATAAGAGCAAAGGGATCCGATTCTCTCATGGTGTGATATCTATGATATGCAGGAGAGCTGTACCTTTTCTATAAGTTGAAAGATTGGGAAAAGCGTTGGCATTGTAAAGGGATTATAGAGTAAAAGCATGTGATATATCGAAGGAAAAGAAAAAGATCGGCTCCCATATATTCCGCCGGTTGGCACCTTCATCCTTCGCGAAGAACAGGAATCCCAAGTTGAAGAACAATCCACAGCAAAGAAAACTGATTTCCATGGCCACTAAGTTTTGGTAGACCGGTAAGCAGTTTCTACACTGAGCTTGCGTATTATCGATGATGCCAAGACTGAACTCGGCGCCATCGTGATTATCGAAACTCTCGTGGTAGACTATGTACCACTTAACATGATTCAGATTAGGTACTCCCTAATATTGTGTATTTCGACGGAAAAAGATGCCACCAGGAGATTTATTGAGAATTGCACTTTAATGCACTTCTGTTCTAGACGTCCGACAGTCATCTCTTTAAAAGTACCATCCCCATGTTGTCGAAGCATGCGCGTGGCACAAGCTAAACCTGTTGTGTGCAAGAAAGACTGATCGTATTCAGATTTCCTTTTCTCGATTACCAAAATTCTCAGTGACATCGTCTTGTACAGCATGACTAATCAATCATTCAGGACTTTTGCACAGTACTATTATAGGACTTTCAACAACTGAACGCGATGTATCCACGTTGTTGTGTTCGTGGAATGCTCGATCGATCCACCCATCGATCGCCATTTCGTCTATCAGCAGAGCGGGATTCAAGAAAAAGGGTCGAACTGTACGATCGGAGTACATACGTCAGGACCAGATCCAAAAGGTGTGTAGATGAACGATATGTTCATTCCTTTCTTTCTGCTGGCTACGACGACGGTAGGAGGATAAGGCGAGGGCAGCGATGTGCATCACAGACCAACGTCTGACATGTTCACTCTGCAGTTTTCCAACACCATCTTAAAGCTCGTCGACGATTTAAGGCTCGGTTTGCGCTAACACACTGTTCTAATACCTTGTGCAGGATTGTCTTGCTGGGGCTTCACATGCTTCGGAATCCTCCGTTCAAAATTGTCGTCTGTACGGCACTTTGAATTGAAGACTGTCACATGGGCGAGAATCCGCGACCGAGGGGGTGGTTGCCTTCGAGGACTTTGAAGTCTCGGCGCTGAACTTGGACTCTCGATTCTGGAGGTACGTCATCTTTGCTCCCTGCCATATGGACAGTCTGGACTCTGGAAGTCCGTGCACGAGACAAACTTGTCTCGTGAACCATTTCGAGTCAGGACGAACTCTTGCGAGCGACCTCCTCATCTCGTATAAGGGATTGACCCCGGCGTTGGAATCACAATCCACATATTTCTTGTCTTACACGCGTTGAGCTGATATGCCTCACACACACGACGCACCAAAAGTTAGTACAAGCAAAACAAAGAAGAATCAGACGCACTCCCCCAACCAAATGCACCGACACAAGGATTCGAAGAGTGAAATTGTTTTTGTGAGGTAGAACCCATCATAGCAAGTGGCGGAAGTCAAGAATAAGAGAAAACGAGATCGAAAACACTGTCTGGTTAAGATTTGTATGTTATGTTCCTTATGAAGAGAGAGATTGGGAGAGAATACTCTCTCCTTGTACATTTGTAGATTCCTACCTCAACCTCCTTCCATATTTATACAGAATAACCACTGCGACAATCGGACCCTCCTTTAAAAAAAGGTCACCTGCCGATCCGAGTACTGCATCACACCTCAAAAGCATGCCCGAACCAGATCCATGCCCACGTATTCTCCGCTTGTGGTACCCGGAACCGAACGATATCCAAAGGGACAAAACCGAAACCCGAAACGAACCCAAGTCGCCTATGAATTGATACCCGACTGGACCCGAATGAACTCATCTCAATTGTCATTGTCACCTATGAGAAACCTCGAGAGTAATGGACGAAGAGAACAAGTGCGATTAGCACTGTGTCAAATCAAAAAATACTCCACGACCTTTGTACAGAGTAACCCTAATTTACATTTTTAAACGTAACCCTATTTTTAAACCATATTAAGAAAAGTCCAACCCGAAACCGAACCGGACCTTTCTAGCTTGGTCCAAACCCGAACCATACCCATCGGTTCGGACGGGTTTGGTTCGGGTTTCGGGTATGGGTACCCGATGCAGTACTCTGCTGCCGATCCAAAATTTGCACGTAAATATGAAGTAAGTATGTTCGTTCGAAGCAACGTTCGTGTGTAGATAAAATTTGCGTGAATTTCTGGAGTGTGTAAGTCCAGGGCCCAAAGTAGTTATGGATAAATAACTTCTTATTACTTACCATGATAATACATATACACATATCTATAGCTACTTCTTATGGGTTTCTAAATTCAAAAATAATAGGTTTAGCATATAGATTTATACCTACAAATCAAATAATTAAATAACTTATTCTTTTATTTTTAAAAAAAGTCCATATGAAATATAAAATATGAATAACAATAATAAATATGAAAACTTAGCTTGTTTCATAGATTATTTTTTCTAAACTTCATAGATAATTTTTCTAGCATGTGAAATAAAATATCTAATTGACTTATATTGCTGGATCATCCGGTTTTCTCGAAACCGTATAACTTTTTTAAAATTAGGTATTAAAAAGCCCATCAATAAAAATTTTTAAAAATTTGGATTAATTTTTAAAAAATAATCCATATATATATATTTATAAAAAATTTGTGATAAATTGAGAAACTTGATTTTGTAATTTTGAAAAGAAAGTTGATGATACATCCTACTCTTAAATTGAATATCGATTAGTATACATTATTGGATTTCATGAAATTATACTAAGTTGCTATAAAAAAAAGAAGTTGATTTTAAAAAATTTGATACAGTAATTAAAAAATGGTCATAAATAAATACATACAGGTAAAACAAAAGAAGAAGTTCGAAGTGTGACATAGAAATATATTTTTCAGATAAGAGTAAATCATGTATTTTCATACAAAATTGAGCTACCTCTTGTGCATATTTTAGTTCTATGTTGTTATGCATAGTTCAGTTTTCATTAATTATATAATTTGTATAATTTTTTGAACTTGTTAAGAAAGTTCAAAAATATTGGATTTGTTACAAAGAATTTATTGGGTAGAATTTTGTCCTTCGTAACTTGAGAAAAAATCATCGAATTTACTATTGAAGATAATATATTTTTTATAGATATCTTAAAAAATAATTATTTAAATTTCAATAATAGAATGACATAATTTTATGTTATCATCTGAAAAGATTAGAAGTAGTAAGCAAACTTGTCATAAGTATGTTAAAAAACATTTTTAAATCCAAGATACGCAAAATGATTACTAATATCATCATTATATGATTGAAATCATCACTGAAAAAATAGATAAGAAAAATATGTGAATGTATTTAAATTTATTTGAATCAGGACTATTATATTGTTTGTATCTTTATTGTCATAGTCCTGGAAGTTTCAATTCTCATGAAATAATATTCACGAGGATAAAAAAATTAGCATAACGATTGATAATATTTTTTATTTGCAAAATACCAGCTATATAATAGTACTTGTTGATATGAGTAAAGTAGCCTTGATAATGTAAGAATATTTCAGATGAATTCTTTCATTTCTTTGAAGAAAATTTCCAAAACAAGTTGAAGAAATGTGGATGTTTATGATGGGAATATGTTCATTGTGAATGTAAATGATTCGTCATAAAAAGTAAAGTATTTGATAATATGGTTTGCACATTTTTTTTAAACAAAAACATTTTTTTCTTTTGCATGAAAAAAATGTTTCGAAGTATTTGTGTCTTTAGTAGGCAACAACACGATAATTGTTGATGTGATGTAGTTCTATTTCCTGTTTCGACTACTTTCATTTCATTTTCGTTTATCGACCAGAAATGTACTTGTCAAAGGTTTTGGTGCAAGGTTAAACATGAGGATCTGTGAGGGTAGAATGACAAGCTCAGTCATCTATCCGAAGGTGGAGGTCGTTGAAGTATATTATTAGAATGGCGAGTTCCTTCCTTATATGTGTAAACTTATCGCTCGAAGAAGTTATAAGTGGAGATGCGATGAGAAAAACTTGAAGGACACTATTATTTGGAGATTCAGAATGTGAAGAGATCTGAGATCAGATTTGCGCAAACTTTCCTCGAGAGAATACAAAAGAGTTGACAAAGTTCTTGATGGTGACTGCAGCTGGATCATTGGCTTCGACAATCCCCAGATATTCTCCTACGTCCTTAGCAGAATGTCCGCTGAGCTCTCGCGATAACTTCTGCAGGACTCCAAGAGAAAACACATCGACGAAGGGTTAATCCCTCGAGGTGAGACATGTCATTTAGCAGACTTCATTGCTACATCCAAATGAATGTTACATTCACAAACATGTTGGCTGGCTGGATTATATTCCCATCAGCAAGGAATCTTCGAGTTTTAAGACGAGCATGCTGGAGAACAAAACTGGACCCTTTTTCTGTCTACATTATTCCCCACATGTGCCTCTCATGACAATAGACGATTGTGTGCACAAATCAGAGAACATGCAAGCTGTCCATAGAACTTGTGGTAGATTGGAGAGACCTACAGCAGCAGCAGCTAGAGGAGAGGAGGGGAGAGAAGGGAAGGGAAGTGTAGGGCAGAAGAGGTCGTTGCATATTGACTTAATGTGGGCAATCATCTGCATTTACGATGAATGTCGATAGTATTCCACAGCCTTTTGGCACGATGGGCAGCACGTGGGACCGCGTCGTAACCACGGGCTCGCTTACTACAATCCATGCCGAGCCACATTTGTCCCACGAAGCCTACGCCAGAATTCAGTGACCCGTTTGCCCGTCCATTGGTCGCGCACCATTCCATAGATATCAATTCGAGGGGCTTGCGCTTCTCGGGCTCGATCGGGTAAACCGATCCGCAGTCCAGCCGATCACACCCCAAAAGGCTCTTTCCCTTGCATCGTCGTCGTCGTTTTATGGAGAAATTACTTTTGGACGCTGCGAGGAAAGAGTAAGAGGTCCAGAGAGAAAGAGAAAGAGTGACTCTGGGATCGATCGTGGGGATGGGCGGTTCTTTGTGATCATGGAGGCAGAAAAAGGCGACGCAGAGAAAGCGCATGTCGATGTCACGCGGGGCAGGAAAAGCTTCAGATAAAGCTTGTCAGGATGCCACAATCTCTTTCGCCGGGCTCGAAATCCAGTCACTCGCCGCTCGCTCGCTCGCTCGCTCCCTCGGCTGGAAACCCCCTTTCCATGGCCAGTGGAAAGGCTGTCTGAAATTCTCGTGAACGCTGCCACGCCTGCCGGTGGACGACCGCGGTCTTCCGGTGGCGGTGACGTCACCGCGTGGCGTGGATGTGGACTGCGTTGTGACTTCGACCACGTACCGTGGTTCGGTCAGACCCACCGAACCCTAGCAGCTCTAGGGGAATAAAGAATGCCCGCCCAGTTGCCACAACGGCCATGAATGAAAATTCGTCAACGAGAAGGCAATCTCGTCGTGACGTCGGTGAGCGCAAATCTGCCCACGACGTAATTCGGGTCACAGAATTCGTGACTTGGTGGTGGTATTTTCTCGCTGAGGCCGTGGAGAAAAGCGGAAGGAGGAGCCAGTGGCATGATGTCAGCCAGAGCGCCAATCATGAAGACAGGTTCAGCGCGGTGACTGGTGACTGGTGACTGGGGACTGGGGAATGGAGTTGGATCAGTGATGGGAGAACGTTGGATGTTGGAATTAAGGAGTACAAGCGTGAGTCATGGAGTCTAGAGGGCCGGAGCCGAGGCTAGGCGATGGATGAGAACAGATCTGGTCAGGATCTTCTTCGCCTGGAGGTGCAGGTGCTGTTGCTCGTTGTAGCTATCTATGGTAGCGCTGGACAGGCGCCCGGAGCCGTCGATCTGCTGCATCGGGGGCCTTTCGGAGCAGCTGGTCCAGGTCTCGGGCGAGCCAATTCTGCTGGTTCTATGACATACGATCTGCATGACTTACTTACTCATTCACTGCTTCCCTTCTGTCCTAAGAGATGAAAAGCAAATCCAGTTTCATCGATACATGAAAATTTACGAGTGTGAATCGCTTATGCATATGAACATCTTTGATAAATTTTGTCTTTTTGGAAAACTTGTTGTCTGCTGTGTTTCACTTCTGTCCTAAGAGATGAAAATCCCGTTTTATTCTTAGAGCAGTATAGTACATATGAGGTGAATCACTGAAGTACAAAATGACTTATCCGGACTGGTTGTGAGGATTTGGAATACTTATTCACTTCTGCCCGAAGAGATAAAAAATACGTTACATCGTTATAACATTGTGGTACTGTACACATGAAGTAAAACCCTGATGTACAGAGAGATCCGGAACGAAAGGTTTTTTACATGTTTTGTCTTTTGTGTGAATGTATTCACTGTTGTCCTAAGATATGAGAAACAACTTTTCTGGTATTCTCAACATGTTAAGACAACAAGATTAGGTTTTGACGGGGATAAGTTTTAGAAAATAAACATTTGAATTAGATCATTTCAGTTATTGATTCAAATCTTATCAGGATTATATTGAATAATTGAATGGAACATATGCCTTTTGAATAATATGCTGATTATTGCATATAATTAAAGTACTTTAATCCAGCATGGATGAACGTTTGTTGTTGGATTTCGCCTTGATAACGAGAACGTTTCAATTCTGAAACACATGTTTTATTGTGATTCGTAGACTCACAGACAGATACAGAACGAATAGGAAAGAATCCATAATATGATTGGATCAATTTTATCATTCAATTTTGAATTGTACTCAATGTGCTTCATGTAAAAGATATCATACGTGGAAAACTGACGAGTATCTCATTGAAATGAGAGCATAAGATTTGTAAGTGAATATTAAGATTTTGATTATAATGAATGTTCTGAATCTACTGATTTCAATGAAGCAAATTATAGATTCTTAATGTTTTGGAAAGATGTGAAAAATAATCTTCATGCTCAATCACTTTATAGATTTATGAATCAAAAAAAGTGAGACGAAATAATTTTGATGATTCACTCTTTCACATAATTACTACATGCTTATAAGTTTCAGGCAAAAATGTAGATAATATAGATTTATCTTGTAATTTTAAGAAAAAAGAATGTTTTTCCATTATTTCAATATTCTTTTTTGAAAGGATAATGTTTGAGACCCTGTTCACATGGCTATTGGATTTTCATATTACACTTTATAAAAGAGAAGGAAGCCGTTCGTGTGCGATAGAAAGCCGTTCCAATCTGCAGAAAAAAAATCTTATGAATTGGTGCATCCCGGTGACATTTCAGTTCGTTCATTTAAATGCTGTCTAATTTTGACATCGCATGAACTGGAGTCTCATCATAGTCCAATGATATTTGCTGCAAATGAGTGAGGCCGTTGGTAAGGATATATCATTCAGGAGATCCGCAATAAAAAGTGATAGTTATTGGGATAGGACAGATTGTTGACCCCTTTGTCCACACTATGTCAAGCCAAGAAAAATAAAGATGAAATGGAATGTATGTCTGGTTTTGTTTGCATACGCTATAACTCCTTTTTAGTTTCGATCTTGAGATCTAAACTGGATTAGGACCTCCTTTTATCCGAGGCATTGTTCCTCGGTTTATTCTCTCGGACCGAGATGAAAGAAAAGTTCCTGTCCTGCTCGTGAGTTGTGGTTGAATGATAAACATTCAGTGTCCACCTGCTTCCGTCCCTCGTCACGTTGACAAATAAAGTGCTCTGAGCATAAGAGGTCCGTTATACTTACAACATTATCTTACGGCTTTAATTAAATGTCCTTGTCCTTTTTATCCAGTCGCATTGTGGGATGTAACCTTCGATTCCTCTCATATATCTGTAAAATATTATGGGGACCTTTTCATGAAAATCAAGGTCTTATATTCAGATACTTATCATAAAATTTAGAGTAACAAACAGGACTGGTAAAATTGAGGAATATGGAGGAGAGGTAAGAGTAAATTTTGGTTTTGGTGGGCAAATAACGGAAATTTTTTAAACATAACTTTCAGGATAACAAGGAGTCAAAGGGTTTAGGTCACACTACTCGTCGATTTCGTAGAATTTTAGTGATGGCAAAAATGTTCTTGATACAAGATCATTGATGAATGGTATCAAAAGCATTCTCCGAGCTTTGGCTACTGAGTAAATCGTCCAAACTTGAGCGAATGAAGACCTCTGAGCGAATAAAGACCTATGAAGTATGTCGAGATGAGATACATACAGATAGCTAGTACCATGAGATATTGAGAAAAAGATGGGAAAAGGAACTGGAACGAAACTGGAACAAGAACAGAAATACTGGAAAACGCGGTGGAGTGTAGAAAGAATGAGACCCATGGAAATCAGATGGGAAATGAAAAACCCACCAATCAATAAACGAATCGAGCTGAGTGCATACACGAAAAGAAAAGGAAATAAAGGAAAGGAAAGGAAAGGAGGCCAAACGGAAGACATGTGCGTCCTGCTAGCCATTTTAAAATCCCTGCCTGCCCTTTCCTGAAATCAATGGCAAAGAAACATGTGGCCTATGAATGAATCTCCTCAGACGGACAGAAATGCTCGCACACAGCCAACGGACCAGTCAATGGAGCTCGTGCCCATTGACTGGTCCGTTGTGACCGACGGAGAATCCAGTCTCTCGCTCGCTCTCGCTCTCGCTCTCGCACTCGCTCTGATTCTTCATGTTCTTGTTGTGCTTCTTCTCGTCGCTCCAATGTCCATGGACTCGCTGGGAGTTGGAGTTGGGGTGGGGGGCGGGAAAGGAGGTGAACGTGGGCGTATGATTGTGTTCGGGGCTCGTGGCCGACCACCCTCAAAGTGCAAAGCATCAATTTGCTCTCGTGAAAAAAAGTCTTATCGACTCGTCCACCACTCGATGGAAGTGAGTGAGTGCGAGGCATGCATCGTCCTAGTTCTGGTGTTCTAGGCCATGGGAATCTGACGTATTGCTGCCCTCAAGAGATAGATACCCACCCCGACGACGATCGAAAGTATGACGAGCGTAGGAGGAGTGGAAGATGCCCTAGGTCGTGTTAGCCAGAGCGTGGTGACGGAATAACTGCGTTCCGAAGTTTGTGGCTTCTTATGCTTCAGGTTTTGCAACGTTTTCCGTCAATCGGACCATCGATACCGGAGGAATGAATAGATCGAGGAGCCCTTGCCACCCTCTACTCCAACAAAACTCAGTGCGCAAGATTTGCCCATCAGGTAAGCTCTGTACTCATACATCTTTCTAGCAACTTCTGAATGTCAACCGTTCCGACGTATGCATGATCTACGAACAAGATAGAGGTCTCACCGGACTTGAAGGCTGGATAGTGCAGTCCAATTCGTCCGAATTAATCCGATTGGATGCAGACAACTCACAACCAGTGAGATATACAAAAACGGACCTGCACGGGACATTTTTTAAACATAGACTTATCGTTAGTGCGGAATCTGATCCAGCATTGAGTATATATCTCGTCTTCCATATACAGTATTTGATAATATTTTTACCAAAATATGTAAAGCAAATATAAAAAGTGTTGAAGTAATACAAGGAGAAGATTACGGGACAAGGCCACAGTAGCAGGACAACGAGAAATATGTATCACTGCAATTAAGATATCGTGCCCATCGAATCAAAATTGATATACACTGCCGGAGCATTCAAAGAAACATATCTAACGCGAATTTTATTTGTAAATCAAATCGATGCATGTTTTCTGCTATAATTTAAGAATATCGATGTTCTTAGTGCGTATAGAGTAGTCTCTCTGACATACTCATATGAGAGTCTCTACCTCCATGTACCTTTACATGTAGAGAAAAAGCTGATTTCTCTCCGTAGCCCTAGTCTTAACACCTTATTACCGCGGAGCGTGAGTGGAGCGGCAACCAATGTCACATGTCAGACCTATGACCACAACATATGCAATAACAAGCTGGTTCTCCTGAAACAAAATACACTCATGACCCAAGTTGTGGCGACTACATAGAACACAAACGCTTGATATGTATGAGGTTTCCACACTTTTGTGCCATAACCTACGCCACGTTCCCCATGATAGAGTTGGTAGCTATTCTCTTCCTCTTCCTCTTGTCTCTCTTCATTTCTTCTACTTCCCTCAAACTACCTCCGAAAATATGGCAATTCTAACACTCATCCCTTTAGAAGACCACTAGCTTTTTAGGGAACATGCCAGGAAAATAACGAAATAAAGTGGATTCCACCAGCACTAGGTGCCGTTCACCCTCGTATATATTTACACACTCATAGCCAAGGCTGCCCTCGTCACTACGGGCACGGGATGTCACCCTGAACGGGAAATCCTCGTACCAGGGTAAGTGGAGCCTAACACAGTACTGTACAGGCCAACCGTATGGAGAAGCAGCTACCCAGCTACTGCCACTTTCGATGTAGTCTCGAACAACTTCTTCGGATATGTCACTAGTGTTTCCCTGCACCGTATATTAGATGTGACTATAGATAAGAGGATTTATTTGAAAAGATGATGTTTGTTCATGTCACCCAATGAGTAAGTTGCATGAAAGACACATAGAAGGAGATGTTGACCCAGATGTAGATTCATCTCGAGAGATTAGTACCATCTCTTTCCGTTTGACTTCCGTCTAGCTTCTCTGGGCCTCTGTGGACTTTCGTGATGGTTCTGCCGTCATCCTTGTTATCCCATGCGTCTTATTTTCCCATCTCCAAACCATCCAGCCTGAGAAGACTTCGGAGTACATGGTAGAGTCAAAGTCCAACTGTTGCCAAAGGAGCATTGACATTTCTGGGCTGCAGTGAACAGGAAATACATGACTTACTTACATCACTTACTTACAGCACGACAACTGTGGTAAAATCAAGCAGCTCGTCCCGCCCTTCTCTCATTTCTCTCTCTTGTGGATGTGGAGAGCGCAAAGGTTCGTTCAAAGGCCAGGAAGGGTACCAGGTGTTCAGAGACCATTCTTGTTGTTGGAGCGGAAACACCGTACCCTCTTTTAAGACAAGCACTGTAGCTCGACTTGAACCTTGGCTACCAGCAGATCAATGAGCATACTTGCTCGCCTGTAGAGGCTACAAATCCCCCCTTATTTCTGATATTCTGAAAATGTGGAATCTCTATGCTGTACAGTAGACTCTTCTGCATACTCCTCGTTGACCCCTAGTCAAACAGGTTTGGGGTTACTGTATATGCCTTAACTAGTTGTCTTGAATACACGGAGTGTTCAGTCTCGACCCTCGCACATGTGAGTTCGTAGCTGGATTACTCTTTCCCAGGTAAATAACCACTAAGATTTACAAGAACCGAGAAATATTTTTAAAAACTATAGCAACAGGTGACAAACACTCGTTCCGCGACCTGCACATCACAAAGGAAGATTTAATATATTATATATGAAATAAACATTCCTTCCTAATCGGGTAGAAGAATGTGAGCAGTGTTCTCGTTATGAGAGCTTGACTTTGAACGGATTTATTACACGCACATATATGATCATTTATCCTTGTACACATCAATTTCCATTGAGATTATATGGAGAATTCTTGGAGGTGGCCAAAAGCTTACTACAAGGCAGCAAATGTCAGCATATCGTAAGTCTCTAACTACGGAGGAAGTGGCGAATATGAAATATCATGAGCACGAACTATACATGACACTAATAAAACATTAATGAGGGTCAAGAGCAGTGCATCTGAAATTGCTTGAAATTCTCAATCCTGACTTTTTGGTGCAGATATTGACAGCACACATTTCTCAACACAATAAATGCGTTAAAGACTGACAGACTACATCTACGTTCATCATCACACCTTCAATGTGTGTACCTCATTCCCACCTAAGCTTACAGCAAACCATTGGCGTTTTGTATGTTTACGATCCGAGTATCATCCTTCCCAAGCAACGGACGATTCCAAGAGAATACTTACAGCAAATAGTACAGGCGACACTAAACTCGCAAGAAAGATGTTTGATACTGCTGCACAGGAATCTTGAACCCTTCATAAGGATCAGACCCAAAACAAGGGTCGCTTTCATGTCCTCGTATTCTTAAGTCTATAGGTCAGAGTGAGTTCACCCTAGGTCAGAGTGAGGGCTTAGAAATGTCATCCACCTATCATCGTCCCAGCATCTGCGGCGTCAGCATATTTGCTCACGATGCTCTAACCTTTCCACCTGAGGTGTGTGCATGGCCACTTATGTGAAACGCATTCTCTGCAAAGTGTGGCATACTATCTTTTCACTGGAATTTAACGTTGAACTTGCTACTCATCTTCCTCCACAGTTTTGAAGAAGAAACTCGCGCTAAGGAACACGAATCTTCATACTATTGCACTTTGCAACTTCACACATCTCTTGGTGCTACGCTGACTATCGTAAATCGTCGAAAATAAGTCGGGCAGAAATACTCTCCAAGATTTCCTTTACAGAAAATACATCATATCACACATGAGTACTGTAGTAGTATAAGGTCTACCTTCCTCACTTGGAGACAATCACTGAGAGAGAGTTGAGACTCAAAATTAGGAGGAATCGTTGAGTTTAGAAACGGGAGTCGTAGCTCAAGGCAGAAAGTCATGTAGCCACTGAGAGTTTGAATTCGACATTGATAAGATTTAACGATGACAAAGGAAGCGAATGAAACTTCGATGCCAAGCTACATGTTTAGAATTGTGATCTGAAGACTATTCCAAGCGTTTGAGACAGATTGACATTTTTACCATATAGGAAATTGCAGCGACGGTCACATGGGTAGGTCCGAGAACTGGGGAACACGGACGTAATATTGGCAGTTAAAGACGTATCTTACAAGCCCCTTTCTGTAGGAAGACAAGGCAATTTGTGTTCACCCATATAAATCAAACATACACGAGGATGCTGGGGTGTTGTTGATGCCACTGCGAAATTTTTCTATTCCACATAGACAGCTCTCAGTAGAGAGGTGCGGAGAAGACGGTGGACACGGGACTGGGACTTCTTGCTTGTACTTTATTCGCATGTACATTTGCCAACAATTAATGAATTGAATACTAATAATCTACAAAAGGACTGGCCTAAGAAACAATCTGCCGGATGTTAATGACTAAAAATGACAATGAATCTCGTTGAAGGGAAGCGGGGATAGGCGCGGGCGGGCGCAAGTAGCTAACTAAACTGCTTCGTCTCCAACAGGATCAGGTATCGATGGCAAATTTGCTGGTAAGGGGTTTGATGGCAGATGAGTAGTCTGAGCAAACATTAATAGATTCTTGATGTACTTTTGCACTCGACGTGGAAACGTTGGGAGCCTTGAAAAGGATACAGTTATACCCTGCAATCTGCAAGCAAGCACATTCAAAATGATATCAAATATCCGTGCAGGATTATCTTCCGTGAGAAAACTAGCTCTTGAAGAACGTTCACTAATTACCTAAGGATGAAAGATTCAGAATTCTATCTTCGATAAGAATTGATGCATACACAAATGCAAGGACGATAAAATGCAAAAGCAAATACAACGGTACCTCCGACACATAGCTTGTAATTCGCCCCTCCGTATATTATCTTCTGGTTCTATGCCACCATTTTGCCAAGTTTCCATCATTTCTGGATCCCCGGATGTAAGTATCCAGTTTTTAATGTACTGCTCTTCGTTCGTTGTAAGTTTAGCAGCTCTAAGCTGCTCCTTTAAAACCAGAAGAGGCTCAAACAGCCAATCAGCCACGCGATCTTGAGGCCTATTAAACACCGTCACTTCTGTCCCATCATCTGCATGGCAAAAACAAAGCATTGAAGTTTGAAGCTCCGCATGTCAATATATGGATTAAAATGCGTCATATAATTCAATTAACGAAATGGTGTCACTCAGTAAGGTGATAAAAGCAGAGAAACATGACAGAGAAAAGTATGGAAAGAAGATGAACACAGGGGTTGGAAACGCACGTAATAAGAGCCCCGAAACACCAGCCTTGGCTGAATAGAGAAGCGTGCTTAAGGAAGAATAAGCAGGCAAACCAACACTGAGAAGTCTGCTCTTGTCTCTTTTAGGCGCTCGAATCCATTCCTCTAAATCTGCAACTTTTATAATTCCTCCAAGAACTAGTTCCTTGCCAATACTGTCCATATTTCTGAACAAATTATCCCAGATCTGCACGAATTAAACTTCGGCCCATTAGTAGAATCAACCACGGTTAGGTGATTTGAACAGTGAGAACTTGCTTTTCAAAATTGCAGTGTATACCTCAGATCCCATTCATGGTAGGCAATTGAAGAGGTGATGACAGTATACTTGAGAAGTTGCTTACCTGAACAAGTTTCACTTCTTGAAGAGTCTGTCTAAGCGATCGTGAAGCAAGTGTCATTTGTGATAAATTTGATGTAGTTTTCATTTGCCGAGAAGTTGAAGGAGAAGTATCCTCTTCACGTTTCTGTTCGTTTATGGATTTCAATACCCCCGAGTTATCCAGCTGACCTGGCTGTGGACTTGGTTGCTCAGATCTTAAATCATAAACTGCTTTCTGTTGAACTGGAGAACTCTTCGGCATAACTACATCTGGTCCGGAGTTATGATCATGGCTTCGATACTTGGGCCTGGCTGTCCACAGAGAAAATCATTAAGTTCGAGATACTAACACGTTCCATATTCAACACCTTCGCTCCCCAACAGAAATGAAATAGATAAAGGACAGGCAACCCACTGAGATCCGCGCAATCTGCTGTTCACTGCACTTGAAGTAGTGTAGTGCACAGCATTTTACAACACATGCTTAAACACTGTAAGCTTGAGAGGAAATACCTCGGAAAACAAGAACCCTCGCTCAAGTGAAGCACATCATTTGTGTACTCATCAAACTGAGCTATCACACTCACTATGTAAGCTAGACCACTCTTTACTGACCGCTCCTGCACATACCGACAATGAGAGCAAGTTGAGTTTTAGAGACAGATGACAAATTCTAGCTGGTGTTCAAAATTGTTTGAACTTATGCACTATCGTCTGTACGAAGGGGTAAGAATCCTTTCCATCCAAACAGAACTAGAATGATACAACGTATTCATAATAAATGGAACATAGGCATACAAAAAGTACATCAAGACTCTGCTACTATTGCAACTACTCGAGGTCTTTTCGAACCTCTTTTCTTTACTAATGACCTGCAAAATTGAAGCCACGAGTAGAACATGGCAAAACACAATACAACAAGCTTCCACAATGCAATGCTTGGTACCTGATATACCACAACCGCCCCATACAGCCCCAAGAAAGGACTTGCAAGTACCGCACAGAGGAAACTTATGACCACCACCAGCGGCCACAGAACGATGGCCAGACCGGCGAAAGGAACGCAAACAGCTTCTAGAAAAGGCCCTTGTCGTCCCCATAGATCTTTGAGCAGTCGCTGCCATCCCTTCAGTAGCATGACAGGACTTTTTCCAAAAGAAATAGCTGTCATGACTGGAACGTCCACCAGGACACCCAGCACTGCCACAAATATGCAACCTGGAACTTCTAACCACCTGCGATGGAAAAGATAAACTTAGAAAGGTACATATCGATAGAGCACCTCCCACCGTTCCATAGTCTGGAACTTAGCCTACTATACAGCAGGTTCACGATTGCTTCACTCCATTGCAACAGTCAACCATACCCGACAAGTGAAAGCTCCCAAGCATCTACATCAGATTCAGAAGCTGTAGTATTTGTCTTCTACACTCCTTTCAATTGGAATAAAGAAAAAGAGCAAAAGACTCGTCATTGAAAATTTGAGTGCATACTTAATATCGTAAGGCCGACCATCTTTTGGAGGCTTCTCTCGAAAGTCTGCAAGATAGTCTACGTAAGAATGAAAAGCTAAATCCGTGAAATCCCGAACAACAGTACAACTTCCTTTTAGTGTGCTCCACGTGCCATCCTGCATTCGAATACGTAGGACTTAGTCAGGTCTGACAGGATTAGGGAGATTGCAATATACACATGACTTCTACGACAATTTGGCCTATATCTCAAGTTTCTAGGTTTATCTCAACGTATAACAAATATATATCTTGTAAGTGTTTGCAGCTTCTTGTTCGAAACTCAGGCGTCTAAAAAGAGTACCTTACCACAAGGCAATGATATGTTTTCTTTTCTCTCCCAGCTCCAACCGCTTCAAAAGTTGCTACCAGAGGCGTGACGAAGCCGTAGCCTAACCCCACGAGGATGGAAGCGGCGATGGAAGCAACGGGCCATAGTATGAAAGGTAAGGGTAGAGATAAAAATGACAACACCTTTGCACTTCTACCCAGTTGTTTGGTCCTGTTTCCAACCAGCAGCATCCGTGAGTACAGTTAGTATTATTGAATTACACCTGGTACCTTTTTCTAAATGTCGAGCTCAAATATTCCTAGAAAACATACTCGTGCAAATGATTTAAACATGGCATCTATGGATGCAAACTAGTAAGAAACACAAAAGAAATTGGGATAAGATTATTACTTCGCAATTGTGTAGTAAGCCATCACCACGTGCATAGGCCATAGACCTACTGTCACGGCCGTAAAACCGACGACGAGCACCACAAAGGAAATAGGGCCTACAATTATTCCTGTAAAGGGCAACATTGAGCACAATGAGATTTGAGTAATATAGTAGAGGAATAATTGTAGTGTGTAGGTGTAGTTGTATATCTTATTCCTACAATTATAGTAACGTACAATGCCAGTTCATTCCCTTCAACCTGACAACAATTGATAAAAGAAATCATACATCGCACTCGACAACAGCCTATATATCTTTCACCAACTTTGCGTCCCATCCTTGAACAAACAACTACACCTTCCTGGTAATACTTAAAAGTAAAGTCCGATCACTGAAAAATGGGAATTTTTTGTTAGCAATGCAGCCATTGAAAAAAGTAATCTGCTGGTAGTAGTTTGATGGCCAAAACATATAGAGACCTCCATCAGGAATATGTTCAATAGACGAAGCTGACGATGTTGAAAAAGTGAGAAGTTCGACAGCTCTCACTTCGCTCGCCTAATGAGCTTACTCAAGCATCTAAGTGAGACAAAGACTGGGATACTTGACATAAGGGAGGAAGGTGATACCATCAGCTTTCAGCGCAAATTATTTAACCAGTAATCCAGTGAAGGATAAGACTGCCCTTGTAATAAATGTATAATGAACTGTCGGCAGTCAGCGTCCTACAAAGGTATGAGCAAGGAAGGTATAATTATTTTGACGCAAGGAGTGTTGTATGGGATATTGCACTGAGAGAATTTGGCTGCAGTGAATATTGGTACACAACATGAGATCCAACAGCCGTGTGGCAATAAAATGAACACAATGATGTATAATCAGGAAGAAAATAATATGAGTTTCTCCACATGCAATAACAATCGCGAAATTCAGAGCTCTTACGCCGATGCTAAATCAACATATTGGATAGGCTATACATAAGTCTGCAGTGCGATGAAGGTTGTCTGGTATATATAATCGACTGGACGCATGGAACACATAACACTAGTGGCGACAAAAATACTCTACACAGAAAAGACTGAATACGAGATAAGGACCAGTCTGTCCGGGAAACGTGCTAATCTCGAATTCTGTATTGTGATGCAACGAAACGAGCCTGATCATGCACGGACTGGATATAAGTGATTCGAATTAGGATCCAAAAGCCACCCGCAATGCAGATGTTAAAATGCTGGCGGGGGACCGAGAGAATTCTTCGTAACTAAATGCATGTCTTCCTTGAGAGGCAGGTTCTGGGGGATGCTCTCTTCCCCGGTAACGAGAAACAAGTTAAAGGCAGAGATGCATGCGGAAACGGTTGCATTATACCAGGGCATCACTGCACCCACGAACGAGTGCTGACCAGTAGCCACTGAGAAAACCCGAATCCTGCAACCATTGATGCAGGACAGGAATTTGCCTTAAAGGAAAGAAATAAATCGTTGTTTTACTTCCCATCCATTTTCTGTATCTAATGTTCTCCACTAAGGTTGGTTGGAAAGAGCAAAAGGACACGTCTTGTCTGCTTGTGTATGTAATGGGATCTTCTCGCGTTCTTGGAAGAGAACAAACAGTTTTAAGATTTACTGCCAAATTGATGGAGCTTTCTTGGTGGTAGACCCTGCTTTCGCAGATGAGAAAGATTCGAATAATCTTCTTTTCTGTGGCCAGGCAGTTTGCACTTCTTCCGAAAGAGCTAAAAAGTGAAGCTCAGGAGAGAAATGACGACCCGTACCTTTCGCAGCGCCGAGCAAAAACAGTACGAAACAAACTGGAATGAAGAGCAGCGCTCGCCATATGGTGGTCAAAAGCTCCATCTTGATTCCTCCCGTCTTTCTTCAAACTTTGATTAATTCAAAGCTCACACTAAAACACTCCACCGCTTAGGATCAAGGCTATACACGATCCCAGCTACACCGAGATGCACAACATACTCCTTCCTCCAGAACAAGTATCCTCCTCCGCACACGCACACTTCCATCTCCTCCTTTCGCACCTTCCTATTCACTCGCCGCAGTCTCTAATTCTGCTCTCAACCCGAGGATCTCTCTCTTCACCCACACCACACCCTCACTAATGCTCGCCTCAAATCGTCAACGAAATTGCCCGAATGGGCCACCAGAACGGACACGCACACGCACACACGAACGAAAACCCACCAGAGTCAAGAGCTCTACTCTCGACACCAGCAACACGGAGCTATCTCTACGACGGTGCTGACGAATGACACACGATTCTTCCCGCTGCTGCTGCTGCTGCTCGTCCTACCAGCTTCTTGCAGGCGGCAGCGAGTGAGCGATTTCTACTTCAGACGAAGCTAGACAGCAGAAGCATTTCATGCACAGTGCTCACAGACGAAGGCAGAAGAAAAAGCTCACAGGGAAAAAGAAAATTATGGAGGTGGCGCTCTGGCTGCTGCAGAAACAAAAAGCAAACGAGAGGGAGGGAGAGAGAGGGAGAGAGCAAGACTGGAGTCACTGGCAGCAGCACTTCTTTGCTTTGGCCGAGGGGCGGAAGAAGAAGAAGAAAAGCCCCCGCCCGCCGGTCTTCCCCCTACCGGAACGTTACTCCTGCGGCGACGGCCTCGAGGGCCTCCTGATATTCTCGGTAGCCTTCGCGGCGGACTGACCGGCGACCGTCGGGCGGGCGGGCACAATGTGTAGCTCGTCGTACAAGAACGGACCGGGCCCCGTAAAGCGGGAGATCCTCGGGACATGTGTTCCCACTCGCAAGCTACTCTTGCGGTGGACTCTCTGGACTCTCAGTCTCGGTCTCTTGGCGGTGGTAATACCGACATTTGTGTAGAAAACCTCATTTCTTTGGCTGAATGGGTGCACATTCATAATTCCTGCGTGGCCATTTTGGACCTAAAATATATTTAAAATGTTAAATTTCATGAAATACAATGTGTAGAAATGAAAAAAACAAATAAACCACGAGTAAAATCTATTTTGGATTTTCTGGGGCGCCACATGATATCGGAGTTCTATCTCACTTTGACGGCAACGACCTTCAATGAAACTTCAAAGACATTTCTCTAAAAGTCAATAGGGTACCGTGACGGAATATGCTTCAGATGTGATATGAGCCAAGAAAATACTTGCTATATGTCTCCTTACGTTGAAAAAAAAGGCGGATTTGATTCCAGCATGAACGTAGCTCGAGACGCATGTTTCCACCCTTCATATCTTCTTATCTGTGGGTCAATAATTTCGGTTCCTGGGATAAGGTCAAAGCAGCTTCTTTTCGGATACAAAGTTGTGTACACCAGTCGAGTATCTTCGAAATAGTAGCTTCACGATCTCTGAGCGAAACTTCCGATCTGAGTTTAATGATCTAATCCTATAAGTTTCCGGATGCATTTCAGTCGACTTCGTTTGTAGTGTGTGACCATGGGCAAGGGTGACGGGAAGATTGTCCTCCGATGCTCTTTCTTTTATCGAGGATGTGCGCAGGACAATTGTACGCACACGTGCATGAGTTATCTAGAATCGTTTCTTCATTCCTTAGTTCATGAAGACAGGTCAGGAATTTTTTCCCATACTCTCTGCTCCCAGAACCAAAACATGCTCGTTAGAGGTACATGGGCTTTCATTATGAGAAACGTAATGCAAATCTAGCTCCGAAAGAACAAAGGCCGTTGACTAAAATGCTGACAACCTGAGACCCCATCTGCAACTGAGCTCTTCATCAGAGATCTTAGCTCCTTACTTCCCTCCGGTCAAGGACTAATAAAAAGAGGAAATTATTTGAAATAAAAGAGAAAATAGTTATAAGACGTTCGCATCGTGTGGCCTGCCAAATCTAATTAGGCAGCTCTGCGACCGCGGCTCGTATCAGATCCAAACGCTTGGAAACCTCGAGCTAATTTTCAACGGAGAGTTGCTGCAGCGAGCAATATACAAATGAGTTTTTCAACGGGGCCTATAATGGCTCGATGGACACATACAGAAATGAATGATCCCGAATATGTCGGTATGTACGGATTATCACACGACGGATTAAATTATGTGGTAATCATGCAAACGAACAGTGAGGAGCTCGGAACAATTTACATTCGTCTGAGACGCTTGACCAGCGGCAAATGACGGAATAAAAAAGGAGACGGCAAGCGTCTCCTCCAATGACGGTCGGACCTTCGTCTCTTGGTCGTAGTAGGTACTTGCCATTGTCAAAAGGTATGCTCGCTGTGCTGCTGGTCGTGAGTCCGACATCTGGTCCTCCAAACCCCACAGTAGCCACCTACTAACGCTGCCTTCAGGCCATGCCAGTCCCACACGTGGTGGCGAAGGTGCACTATACCGCCCGAGATTGCCCACAAACGCAAGCAAGGCGCGAATTGCATCGGCGAAATTTGCCGATCCGCTGGAGTGACAACGAGCCCATGAGCTGTTCCACGGCCTCCTCGACGACAACGACGACTCTAGACGCGACAGGAGAGCCGAGAGAGCCGAGCAGAGTGCAAAATGGGCGCCAGGGGACGGCCCTCCATCGAAACAGGACAACGGTCCGGGCGCCTTCGTGCCGCCCAGACCGTTGCCGATAACGAGAGAGCGCGGCACACTTACTTACGTGCCGGTGGAAAAGAAGACAAACTTACGTGCCGGTGACCCGCGCTCGGCCTCGGAGCGAGAGAAGCGTGCACCGGGAAGTCGTCGAAGCTGCCGCGGCAGCGGACATAAGAGGACGTAATATCCACCTCCAGCTGGCTGGCCTGGGCGGCCAGCCAGGTATATATATAATTTGAAAAAATATATATATAGGACAAAAAATAAACCCACTTGGTTTTAGACTTGGTTTTACACAAAATCACCGCTCGTATTGGTTTGCAAAACCAAAAAGATAATCTAAGGTTTTTGAAGAAGAAAAAAATACGTGGCTGGCTTGGATTGTATCTAAAAAATCATATTAAATATTCTTCAAATAATGGAGTAATTGCTCGCGATGAAAGAAAAACAGTTCAAAATCAAGTTGAAATATATACAGGATTTCCTCCTTTAATAGTAGAAATCAGAGGTCAAGGAAGTGAACAATTAAAATTGCACCTACCGACGTCCCGAGGCCTCGTTGCTCGAGAGGCGTCGTCCAAGTTAGCAGACGCTCCCCTCCCCAGCGAAGATTTGAACTTCGGAAAGCGACAATTCAAGCATGGGTGGAAATATGCACCTGAGGAGGAGCAGCGGAAGGGGCGGAAAATCTTCTATGCAAGGCACCCGTGGAATATGACTTGGCGAATGCCGGGCCCGGGGCCGGAGGTGGCAGGACAGGACCCGGGCCGGTCTCCTGGTGGCCGCCTTAGGACAGAACAGCTGTACAACGGCAGCAGTTTCGAAATCTCAGCGTTCTTAACATCTTGCTTTGTACTGGCTTAGCTTACGTAGTTCTCGTCCCCCGGCCATTCCGGTAACTTTCGGTCGAGGAGCTGAAGATAAGGAGACAGGAAGTTCCGTTTCGCCGCATGTTTCGAGGAGCGAACTGCACTGCGAAGGGAACTTGATTCAGATGCACTCTAACCGATTATGCTTGTCGATCACGTTGAGTAATCCACTTTCGACAGAGATGAGAATAAGTCATTGACCTCGAAGCGATCTGGAAGAAAACTTTCTCATATTCGTACGAAGGTATCCGGATATGAAAACTCGCAATGTACGAAGGAATTTCCCTTTTCTTCTCGACTGACAATAGTCTCGTGATTCTTTCTTGATACAAAGGAAAGAAAGCATGGAGGTGTATCTTTAGCTTTTGATGACAAGAGGTAAAGAAAGTTCCTGTCGCTAGTCTCGAGATTCGTTCTCCCACTATCGAGAGGGCAAGACGAGAGTACGGGATGAGGCGGGATATGTTCTTCTCGTTGGCTATGCTTCGTCAAGCGTTGGCTACATTTTGAATAAATTGTCCCTTTTGTTTGATCTTAACTATGTCTCTGTTGTGATAGAACCTATTCAAAGCAGAAGCCGTACTTGTGGAATCAAATCAACCTGTGCTTCCGATACTCCGAAGAACTACTTTGCCAAAACATTCCCGTCATTCGAGCAATTAAAGTCCTCCTAAACGTTTCGATAGCCCTATAGGCCTTGATAAAGCCTCGCTCTATATTGCATCGCCTCAAAGAATCTAGCCAATTGCATTGGGACTCATATGCTCGCTCTTTTCCTTCCTTGTTCGCTAGCGCTTATACGACATGACTCCCCGCAAATCGATGGACCTTCGTCCAAAACTCTCAAAATGATCATTTTTTCAAGATTGTCCATAGTTACATTTATTGTGTAAAGTGTCAGTAGTACATTTTAAGCTTAGATTTGAATTTTAATTCGATTTATAACGAAACATATTATATATACTTCATACATAAAAAAATTATTTGTTCAAATGAAATGTAAATTTATGACGATATCGTAAATTAAATTCCAATCCACGTTTTCATCATGAACATTTTTTAAGAAATCAAGCAATATTCATAATACTATAAATAAATATAGTTTAGATATAATATTATATTTTTGTGATGCTATCATGTACATCTACATAGTAGGACATCTTTGTACTTGGGTAACCATTGTTTCTACCCATGTATGACTTTGGAAATTCGGAAACGAAAAGATTAAGCACAAAGACGTATAGCATTTCAGACTACTTCCTAAACCTCTCAAGGGAACAGAGCTAAAATATCGGATGATATGTAATTTCGCGACGTCCACGTATTCTGAGAAGTATCAATACAACACATGTGGCCAATCAACACACAAGTTTCAAAGATCTGTTGATTCTATTATCACCCTTCCCAGATCTCCCGCTTATAGGTATTCTCGCGGGCTTTTTCAGTTTCATGGAAAAAGATTGCATCACGATGTCGGAGACGAGCCATATCTCTCGACCCAAACGGACGAACACAGAACTAGGAATAGTTCTGAAACAACGACAGAGAAATTGAGGTCATATGGAACAAATCCATCTTCGTTTCCAGCTGTGCCAGACGACGACACCTCCAGGAAATCTAGCAAACTGTCACGACTGATCTAAATTAGGTTGATACACACTCGCAGCCCAAACGAATAGCAATTCATCATCTCAACCTTCACCATCGTGCACCCCAGCCCTAAACTTCTTGATCTAATCGACCATGACGGCCATCCCATACTTTCCGAAGATATGGGGATTTGAATCTTCACCCTAATAACAGATTATTCATTGTGTCCGGTCTGCATCACACGGACCTGACTGACGCTGGCACATTCAAAGGCTCAACTTCAAGATTCCCTCCCACTACCAGGGGCCGCCCTCTCACAATAGGCCCCGGACTCTCACTCAACAGTAGCACTGTCCGATACCATGGATTCCTTGAATCCCATGCAAAAAAGCAGAATCCCATAAAAGCATCTCGTCCACGACACCGCTGACATTGTTTCCCAAATAAAGAGTTGACCAGGTCCAGTCGAGCACCGAGAATTACCACTTTCCAACACAGAATCACATTCTGTATGAACTTCCAGCACTGACTCAGAAAAACCCCTGCGGACATAAACAAGGAACTGATCTGTTTGGTGAAGCTCGGTCGCGTTCGATCCGTGTGACGAGCAGCAGCTTCAGCTTGTGGAGTTTGGTCTCATTGCTCATGCACTTCACTGCGAGGTGACGAGGGAAGTTATAGTCATCTAGAAAGATCTATCGAACGATCTGGATTGCTCTGTCAGTTCTGGAACCACAGTTCCAACCACAGCATCAGCTAACCCAGAGTTCTCTACCACGGTTGAAGTTAGTGTGGTAAGGGCTTTGCGTATCCCGTCTCATGCTTACTCTGTTACTTGTTCTGCTTTATTGATGGGATCTTCTTCTGAAGTGAAGGGGCAACGGCAAATTTTACTTTAAACTTATCAAACCTCAGCGTTGGACATTGTCTTATCTTAATTCACCCAAGAATATAAATTAAGATGGGAAGACCAAGTCTTACATGGTTGAAACCAAACTTGTTACATGAACATGGTCTGGCCCTTTGTAAAAACATGTCATATAACAAAGGAAACAACAATGTAATGAGACATGGTGAATAAGGATCTTCTCAAAAGATCTTTTTGTTGCATATCAATGAAAGACAAAATTGACTTAATTTTATCATGTGAATTACACATAACAGTTAAGTAAAAATCATAAATATAAAGTTTGAGGCTTGAGAAAGATGCATCAACCTCTCTAATATCCATCCTTAGATGTTTATGAAAATGATACGTCACTTGGAAGAAAAGCAAAAGTTGAATGTACAATATGTAATGTTTTTTAGTTGAATGATATCTACTCACAATCTTGTGACATGGCATATATAAACTTGGTTCAAAAACTGCATGGAGGTGTCAACAATATAACATCACCACGATAGAACAAAAAACATACCATAAATAACTTCCCACCAGCTGTAGATTCAAAGACTTTTGTGTCATATTTCCATTGCAAGAAGTACACTAAATTATGACACATGACTAGCTTACGCATAATTTTGACCGAATGATTGAACAAACCCCCCCTCTTTCCAATGAACGAACCATCTAGCAATAACTTCATAAGCTCACAAGAAAGTTTTGATTGATGGAAATATTCACCCATCTAGATTCACTAAGGATAACTATAAGACCATGCATAGCAAATGCACAAATTATAATATGTCAAAATATAAAAGTCTAATACTTTTCCTTCATGAGGGTTCTTTACCATAGATGGTTGTAAATGACGTAAGGAAGATTGAGTCTCAAAAGTAAGACTAGGGACAGATAAAGGATGAAAGATTGAGTAAATAAAAAGTAAATTAAGTAAGTAGATTAGGATTAGTGGGTGAATTGGAAAGCATCATTCCACACATTTCACATGGAAAGATCTATGCACAAAATTGCTTCATAGATCTTTCAAGTGACATGCTTTACTGCCACATCGGGAGGATTCAAATCCTAAGAAAGATAGTGATTTATATTATTCAATCAATCAAGGTAGAAGCATAAAACGAGATTTATCATGACACCGGTTTACGTTATACGTATGTCTCTGTTATCATTTTTTACAAAGCTTCTAGATATTTTATTCAATTATATTCAGTACACATAGATTCCACTCCTTTGGTATACAACTCGTCTGCTCTATAAACGGCACCAGTTTACTTTCCAGACTTTCAGTTCTCATTATATTGTTGGCTGAAGCATACCTCCATGATAAAACTTGCGTCAAAGAGTAGAAACATGGTGTGCTAAAAATGTATGATTCACAAAAATATAAACATTTTCTTTAAATCACACTCCAGTTCATATGGCGTCATTTCCATGAAATCGCTATACTATTTTCTAAGTCTCTTCAAACCCGTCTCTGATTCTAACCACCAGCTGATAGAGAAGTAAACAGCGAAAGTGAGCCTCATCACCCTTCAGGATATTTGCTGAAATAATTTCTGCCATTCTATAATCTATAATAGGACAACTCTAAGTCTCTTAAGTATTGACTAAAAAAGGTAAACAAACCGCTCCAAACAGTGCCAACAGCCAAAATTGAATATTATCCATCAGACGAATGTCATACGAACGAAATGAAATAAGCAATTCAACTTCAAGGTGAGCGAACGAAGAGATCTTGCCATGTATTTTTCTAAAAATAGTGAGAGAAATCTTTGCGAAGTGAGAACTTCTTTGAAAAGTTTCATTATCCTATTTTAGACCTGCTTGTCTGTAGTTCCTTTTTTCTGTTGTTGTTGTAACATTTTTATGAGCGTTTGCTTTTCTTTGCTCTGCTATCGTATGCTTGTTGCTATCAATCATTTTTAATTAACAGAGAAATCAGAAATGTCGTGGCCGAATCGGGAAGGCTTTCTTAGAAGGCATAAACCGCATTTTCTCTCGCCGCCGAGAGTTACATTAAATTTATTTACAGCGGAAGATAAAGAGAGATTTAAAGAGACAGGGACAAGAAGGAAGCGCAAGAGCGGATCACGTCAATTTTAGGGAAGGGAAGGCTCGGCCGCGCGCGCCTGAACTAGAGTTGTCTCTAGCACTCGTCCTGACAGGAATTTAAAATTCAAAAGGGAGAAAATGAAGGTGACGAGGAGCGCTTCTGACACGAAACACTGGACGCTGGTCGCTACATGCCAGCACAGAACTTGCCGGAGCTGCCCCACCAATAGGCGCCTGCCAGCGCGGACGGCCGCGAACGAGGACCCGATGGGTTAGTTTGAACCTCGCTGCTCCACGCGTAGTCTGGTCGGGACGGGACTGGGGCAGGCCGAGACCGGTAGAGGTGTATGCGGGGAGGGGAGGGGAGGGCAGGGCAGGGTCTCTGTCGCACCGGTGGCAAGGAACAGGCAGTGCCGGTGGACTTCAAGCGTCGGTACCGTACTGACTCACACGCCTTTCGAGTGTTGTGCTTCTTGTAAGCCAACCACCTGGACTAACAGGTGTACTTTGTCTTAAGAACTCCCGGGACAGTTCCGGTAACGCTCCGGTTCTCTGCCTCCCGCCTCGTACAAGAACACGAAGCTGACGAAGAGGCTCACGGAAGCCCACATTGGTCGAAATGGCGTGCAGGTGGAATGCAGATGGAGATGGCTGTCGCCGGGAAATGGGCACCGGAGTCGCATCATGGCTTCAGGTTTTGGGGGAATTTCCGTGCGAGCTTTGAGGTGGAGGGAGGTGGGAGGAGATTTGGGGGCTCCTTCAGCAGCAGCTGCAGGAAGAGGCGCAAGAAGGCGCCATGGATTGTGGAAACTATTCTTGGTGGAAACTTCCGTCCGCCATAAACGCCGAAGGAGATTCAGGTGGAGTTCGGCATCGACGTGGCATGTACGGCAATGAGATTTGAGGCCGATCGAAGGGCAGGTCATGGATGCACAAGGCAAGGTTTCTTGGGATGACTGCTTATTACCGTGCATCAGGAAAAAACCCCATTTTTATCAAAAATAATTTCGGGTTAATTTAAAGAAATAAAAAAATGATATGAAAAATGGTTTTAATGAATAAAAATTAATCAATTTTATTAGACTGTTAGTACCTAATCACTTTACAGGCGTGGAAAAACCCCGACTTTTATAATACAAGATTTCCGGTTAATTAAAGGGCTGGCTTTTCGCAATGTTTACACATCGTTGTATTTTAGTCGCTTATTGGGCACAGGTTGGTTTCCGTCACTTTGGTATAAGGAGATCATCTACGATTTAGATCGATTCCGTTCCATTAGTTTCTACACTCAGTATCACGTTAGTGACGTATCTCGCTTGATATTAAATAAAAACTTTTAAAAAATTTTTAAAAATTGCAGCGGAGTCTGCGACTAATAATCCATTTAAAACCCGATTTTATGGAAATAAATAAAAACCGGGTGTCTTAGAATATCCCATTTAAACCTGATTGGCCAAATTCTGACGGTGCCTGCCTTGCCTTCATATCATATTTCCCAGTCGAAGAGGGGACTTGGTGGAAAGTGAATGGTAAGAATATTCTAAGAACTAGTTTCAGCTGGAAATATTGCGCGGGCCAGTGTCTGCTCTAATACACGACAATGATTGAGATAAGCAATTTAAAATTGTACTCCTGGCGGCTGCATTCTCACTCCCAGCCTCCTCTGAAGTGGTCAAAGTGTAATGAGCACATTACAATACAACCAAAGGATTGGACATGTTGCGTTAGCGTAAACATTAATTTATAAAAAAAATTGTACTAAAGGTTCAAAATCCATGCGCTTGGATTGTGTGTGGGGATATGCTAGGACCAAATTCCAGACGACATTCTATAAGCCAGTGAGGCGCACAAATTCTTCTAACCGAGCGAAGCTTCTTTGATGGGACGCATCCAGGATTCCAGCCCCGGTTTGCACATAATCTGGATCGACAACGTACAGTGATTTATTTGTCCGTGATTTTGAATACTGCACACGCTCCCAGGTCACCTCACCACGCAGAAGATCATGGATGTGGAATTGTACATCCACAAGGCGAGAAGTTCTAGTACCTTCTTGTGTAGTGCTCACGTTTGAGCATCCTCATTAATGGAGGAGGTCCGCAATGTCCCTAATTGAGACCTAATTGGAGAGAGTGATGTATGATAAAGTACGAGGGCGGAAGACTCAAAGCTGAAGCATTCATGGACAAAAGGTGTACATAATCATGTCGCGGTTGACGGATTTGACCTTTTTCAGATTGGGAGATGAACGGATGAGCAACACGCCAGCCATGGACAGTGCAGAAATGATAGGGAGATGGTGAATAATCCGAGGTCACGTGTCTTGTTGAGTTGCGAAACCAAATTATCGTGAGCCCATGCTTCGACATGTCTTCTCGCAAGCATGCACTCCGGTGATGTGCCTTCTGTGCACACACCTTCATCACCGACACTCGGATGGATATTCCTGCCGATAAGAAAAGAAGCAAATGATTCAGCATTCATCAATGCTCCACAGACCACATTTTTTTCTCTGGGTTTGTCGACATTCTCTCTCTCTCTCTCTCGCCCATACCGCAAACACGGACATGACTGATTCCGTGGTTGCAACCCTAGTCGGAGCTTATGCACTCGCAATCATATCCCTGTAATTTGGAACAGAGAGAAATGTTGGCTGCGTGCGACAACGAGAACATGCATGAGCGAGCGTCCTTGGAGTTCAAGTTGTCGTCCGGTATTTCCATTTTCTTATGAAACTCCGCCGACATAGGCCAGAGGCATCTACCACATGACCTCCACAGAAAACGCACATTCTACCTGCAATTTAAAACCTTTTCTTTACCATCGCCTCACCCGCAGGAAATTCCATTAATCAATAAACTTCTAAGTAGTGACAGAGTGAGTGAGAATCATGGAATTGTTGGTGGATCCATGCAAGCATTAATTTGCTGCAGTCTCTGTGTTTACTCAAAGAAAGACACACGAGACGATATACTAAACCGAAGGGCCCCGCTTGAATGAATAGCAAGATCCCATGCAGATGCAGATGGATAGCAGCGACAAATATCTGAAGCTCGTGCCACGGTCGTAATCCTTGGCCACCTACTCGTGTCCTGACGAGCGATGAGTTTAGTCGACACACGACAGGACTCTGCGGAACAGCGTATGTACCTACCAATTACGAGAAGGACCGTCCATGTGCAGGCCTTTAAGGATAGGTAACGGAGACTGGGAGAGTAGAGACTAGCACAGCCGAGGAGGAAGAGAGGGCCCCATGGCCTCAGACACACTTTGAAGTGTATAGGTCCTTGTCCTTGCCACACATCACAGGTACCTACTACCTACCTGTCAGTGTTGGATCCCAGGGGGTGTGCTCTGGCTGCCTTCCTCCGTGGGAGCAATCAGTTCTCGGTATACATAGACCTCTCATTGACCAAACGCTTGCAATTGTACTATCCAGCTTTATTATTCCTTCTGTAGAATGTCTACATGTCGAAAAGAAAGCTGTCGGGGGTAAAAGTGCTTCTATTTAGTTATATGGCGTAGGTCGTCGGTGATTTGGTCACTTGTTCGAGGCTCATTGGACCTGCAGCAGTCACTCGAAGCGTATGCCTTCGTCTTGGGAATTTCTCAGCGACACTCATTGCTGTAAGAGAGCTGGACTCTGGACTCTCTTACACAGCAATGAGTGTTGCTGAGAAAAGTCACAAGACGTTCTCTGCCTCGACGACGTTCAGCACGATATCTTATTGCCACTGGTGCACAAGGGGCGACAGCAATTGTATGTCTTGTATTCAATATTGGTTTCGGCCGCTGGCTGCTTAGTCTCTCTGTATGTGCAGAGCTTCTGTGGTTGACTAAGGAGATTGCCCCATCAGAATTCTCACGAGAATTTCTTTCAGCCCTGGTGTATTTCACTTGCATCTCTCCCTCTCTCTCTCTCTCTCTCTGACACGGATTCGGCCAACTACTGAATTCTCAGACCGATTGCCGATTCTCAAGATTATGATTGAACAAAGTTGATAAGATAATGAAACTGCGGTAACATTTTCAGAGTTCTGCGGAATCAGTAGAGTCGCATCCAAACGATTTTTCTGTCAGGTGGCGAACGTATGACAAACTCAGATCGAGGCAGCATTCCCCGGTCATCAAAGGTTGAAACACAATTCCAGTTTCTTCCTGACAGACGATGAGCTGGTTATCGTTGTTCGCGTAGGCAGGCAGGCAGGCAGTCATGCCAGATGAAGGTACTCGGCAATCACAGGCCCTTGATTCTTTGACTTCAAAATTCTAAACTAACTCTTGACGACGCCAACTTCTTTTAGCCATGCAGTATGTAGGGGACAAGGATCAGTCTCCCCATTGGAAAGTGCACGCTGAGAGATGTCGTAGAACCAGCCATTCCTCCATTCGAACTGACATCACCACCGCCAAGAAATGGTTGGAGTTAGACCATCAAAAGCCTCGGCTTTTATCATAAACAAGAAGAAGTGCGACTTCGTGCATGAAACTCTCGGTTACTGTCGCTCAATCGGATGCAAACTATGAAGAGAGTTAGCAGGAACCACTGACTCCTCTTGTCACAGAGAAGGCTTAGAATGATAGTTCTGGTAGTTTTGCCATCCAGTCCCATAGTCCAAGGATCGAGAGGTTTGGCAGAAAACTGTACTGAACATCTTGCAAGCTTTCATCAGGTAGGGCCTCACCTCTTTGACTGCTGTAGGGTAATGCGATACAGAGCGGGCATAAGCACACAGCCTTTCTTCGATGCCGGAATCAAACTTGGTGTTCTTCACAGATTCCGCAACAGCTGCCAGTTCCTGAATGAGACTGACGACCTGCGGCCGATTGAGACAGTGACGTTAGCCATAAGTCACCTCGACATGCTTCCAGCCATTATGAGATTTTGGTCTGATGGGTCCCAGGGGGTAGACAAACGCTTTGGTCATTGCACAGCTACTACGAGCACCAATCTGTGAGTGCCTACCTCTTCACGGTATTTGCTTTCAACATCTCCACATGTGGCACCAGGATGACGAGTTCCAACGAGCATGAAAGCTGAGATCCAGATGAGCTTTTCGAGCTGTGGCTTCTTGAACTCTTCAGCATCCAAAACCTGAAGACTCCACGATGGCAGGATGAGAGGAAATTCAGACATGTTGAATTACTATCATGCAGGTATGGAAATTAAAGTCTCGGGGGCGAGGCGAGAGCATGTGGTTCACGAAGAATCCCCACCTTGCAGGAAAGTCCTGCAGATTCGAGGCGAGCAGCGACGGCAGACGCCCACTTCCCAGTCGAGGCGGTCAGACCTTCGGGATTCATATCTGTCTTTCCATCGATTGGAGCATCGCCTGCTTTCGCCACGGCGAAATAGACGAGCACTTGCGTTGCTGACGCCAATCCCTTACTCTCCAGAAAAGGCTCCAGCATTCCGTTCTGAATAAACACCAAATCTGTTGCATTCTTCAGTGTTCGTTCACTTTCGATGTGGTTGTAAATTTCATCTTCTCTTTCCAATCAGAGCAACACTTTCAAAGTTCTCTTTACATTGAGCAGAATCTGAAAGGTCTCATTGATGACTAGTGTAAACAAAAGCCCAATTTCTGCAAATATGCCCATCCTGCAGATCACGTGGCTGAAAAATTTAACGGAGTTGGTTCGATGCAAAGCAAAGTGGAAGCGCCGTTTTTGCACGAAATTTCAGGACGGAAGGGAAATTTCGTAGATGCGCTGAAACCTCTGAAAAAATGCGACTGGCAGGGACGGCAAGTGCCAAATGCGATTACAAGTTTTAGACAAGGTGGAATAATTGGAGGATGAGATTAACCTTCACGGCGACTAGCGGGAGTGGCATCTATGATCCCTGCAAGAGAATCATTCCGAGTGCAAATGATGATAGGGCCCTGGCCATCTGCAGGAATGGGTTCTCCTCTTTTGACCAGCACGTCATTTCCCCCGCCCATCTTCTCCAACGCTGATCCGACTCTCCCAGCTCCCACGATCACGGCAGGTACGATTTCTCCCATCGCTGCTTGTCCTGTCACTGTCTCCGATGTCCGCACGTCCGAGGCCGAAGCTTTCGTGAGATGTCTTCTCCCACTCCGATTGTGTAAGTCTCTGGCTGAAAGTGCGCAATGCGATGCTCCACTCCTGTACAAAAATCCCTGAAACTCTGAAGAAGTCCTCAAGAGAAACAAATAATTCTGATTTTGAAATCATGACCAGGAGCATTAACTAAGGACGCGATTGCCTCTTCAAGATGATTCCCGGCCGATTATGGTAAGTGGAGAGAGTGGGTTGAGCTGAGGAAATTCCGCTGCAGTAACGATGAAATAAGCGTCCAGGGAGCAATATTAGGAAAACCTCGTAGGAGTTACAGATGTCGACTGAGCAGAATACGAATTCAGAATTCTTTCGCAGTTGATGAAACCATCACTACTGCACGCCCCTACATTGCGACGAAGGTTATGTCGTGTCTACCGGGAAGGCCTGGACAGGCGGGAGTTTACCCTGGAGGCGAATCTTCATGGCCACGAGAAGACACCTGAATTTGGGGTCTGTCGAAGAAGTAGAGCTTTCTACAGGTTTTTTGCTCACCTCTCACCAAGAGAACAGGATCTGGCAAGGACTCCAGCAGTTTCTTCGATTTCAAATCTATTACTCATCCCCATTTTAGAAGTTGGCTGGCAGCTTCGGGCGATAAATAGCAACGCTTAGATGTATGGTCTTCGCAACGACCTGCAACAGGATCGTTCTCACAGAAGTTCTCTACCTCCGTAACGAGAGCCAATGAAATAGCAGGGATGCACGAGGACGGGGTGGCATTACGCTCTGGAGGCCATCAATGCCCCGAGAGAAGACATGATCGAGGACCCGCAATCTAAACCCAGACCAGGAGAATCTATCTGCCTTGCAGGTTCATATCCAGATTTTCTTTCTTCAATCTTCCTCTCGGAAAGACTTTCTGATTTTTCCCTTTTTGGAATGGGCTTGCTCGAAGAGCAATAGGGCACACCTTCGGCCGACCTGATTGTTTCAGCGAAGGGAAATACTCATCTCGTGGCACCAGATACAATGTTCTAGACAAATTCGACGAGCTTGAGTGAAGAAATTTCCACAGCTGAATTTCTCCGCGACGAAAGCACCGCTCTTGGTCCAGCAAGGGAGAGGAAGATGGGCCATACCTTTGGCAGCTCCGAGCCAGAACAGAGCGAAGCAATGTAGTCCGAAGAGCTGCGCTTGTCATAAGGCGGTCACCAGCTCCATATCGCCTCCACAGCTTCGAGTCCGCGCTCTCAGCGACACCGACCTTCCCGACCAAGCATGCACCGCGGCACAAGCTCAGTGCCATCTCCTTCTTGCTCGGCTTTCCTTCCTTTTCCTGGCGGCAGTCTCGAATTCGACTCTCCGCCCGAGGATCCAACATTCATATGCTCGAGATTGCATTGCCAAGTGGCGCCGATGAGGTTCTGGAGAACTCTGGCTCGATAACGTTCTCCCGGATGAGATTTCGCCACTTGGTGTGCATGGATTTGCAGCTGCTCTTGGGCCTCATCATTCCTTCCGGCCATTTTAAAGTTCAGAATTGAGTGAACGAGATTGTGTCAGAGGTGGCTAAGGCAGGTCGAGTTCAAAGCCCGCAGTACTCCTGTTCATCGATGGCTACCCTGAACTGCCACCCAAATATTGATGGATTGCTGTTCATTTTTCAATCTTGTGCAGGCAGTCCCGAATTCATATGCAGATACATTTGCAGTTCGAAGAGATCATGTCTACCGCTTTGAGGTGGGCGGGTTTTTCTGCGCTTGCACTCTTCGTGAAAAAGGTTTTCTGCATTTGTAGTTGTCCTTCTCGGCGAAAGACATGTATGAAGACTAGGTTTCCTCCTGCATGGGTTTCTCTCACATTATCTACTCAACATCACTGACGAAGAAACAAGTTTCTCGCAAGGACAATTACGGAAGCGACTCTAATCTGCGATTACATGTGGGAGGAAGACATGAAATATGGAAGTCCCGGGCAGAAATCCGGGTTGTGGGAAGAGGCAAAATACTTGGACTTCCTACACCGTCAGGGACGTATAGACATTCTCGGCACATTAGTATCCTCGTATTCCTCACAACAGGGATGAATCCCTTAGAAAAACACTATGTGTAAGTGAGGAGAGCAAATGGGGGAATCCCCTCTTCTATCACCTAACGAGTGTCTCACTTCAAGAGGCAAAATCTGGCAAATGTGTTTTAAGGCAGATATACCTCAAGGAGAGACTCAAAAATTCCCTAATCTGGTCCCAAGGAGACCGGGAGGTCATCGAGCACCTAGATCAATTTTTGGCAGCTTACATTAAAATCTCTGTCGAGAATAGGATAGCAACGGTTTACATTCATCATGACGGCCTGAAATTGCACACGATAACACCTGACATGATTGAGATATGGATCACCGTAGGAACCATGTGGAGAGCGTGCAGGTGCATAACTAAATCTTCCAAAAAGTATACAGATGGTAAAAATGTAAATCTGAACAACGAACAGTATCCGACTGTACAGCGATGAACACACGGAATATCAATACATCAGAATATCAATACTGACAGGATATATGTGTCCAATCAGGAACTTTTTACAAGGTATAACCCACGCACATCACATCGATCATTGCTCGTGGGTCGTTCTAGGACCCATTCTCCTTTACATACACGCGTAAGTTGTACAAGATCATCAGTGGCCTCCTCGTTGTGGAGACCTAATATTAAATTCCTGAAACAACTGGATGCCTGCACTGCCTGCCCTGCCCTGCCTGCCTGCCTGCTCCCTTCAAGCCCGTCCTCACCTCTCCCAAAGCCCCTCCGTGCCTCCAGGATATAAATGTACAATACCACTTCATATGAATCTCAAGAACCTCCGAAGCAGCAGCTGCGAAGAGATCCGGGAGTTTCATGATCGAAAGTTGGAAGAGAATTGCTGGAAGTATCCTCCGACTATCTCTCCAACTCCCGTCGTCCGTTAATGTTCGGTCCATTGAGTCTTAAACCCATGGGTATCCTAAAGGTCGATTCGATCTCCAAAATTTGATAATGGTCACTGCCGTTCAGAACAAATCTTCCTGAAGTATCTGCCTAATTCTACAGTTCACGTTCACGAGAACACGACAGGCAGACGTTCTTCGGTAAAGCAGACTCGTCAAAGGATCCCCATCGAAGAGACTCATTTTTTCCATGGAAATCTACTTTCAATCAAAGTAGTGTTGGAGGCCGGAAATTCTCCGGCCGAAGCTACTGGCATGGATCCCAACTCGGATATATGTGCGTTGCAGAAAAAGCAGCGCTGGTTGTTTAGGAGGTGCCGCGTGATGCAGCGCAAACAAGACTGGTGTTTGCAGGGAACGAAGATAGTATCCAATTCACCTACACAACATATGCAACAGATCTCCACTTTATCCTCACCAGTGGCATCTCGGATCAAATCTGCAAGAAGCGATTAAAACCCAGGTCAGAATTCCATACTCCGACTCGTAAATCGGGGATAGGACTGTTCAACCCGTCGAGAAATCGGTCTCAGAAATGAACAGACTTCGCCGTTTTGTCGTCATATATACGACATAAGAGTAAACCGATGCCCGTCGATCATTCGAGACTCGCTAACTTCAGCAGATATAGTAAAAATGACGAGGTATCTGGCATAATCCGGGAGGGCATGGGACTCAACGCAGGTGCTCCGAGCTAACGACCATCTGAAGCTCAAAGAGAAAGCTGAAAGTGGGTCTGACTCCGGGTGACAGCTTCAGTACCTGATTGCAACATCTCTTCTTCTGTTGCTCTTTCCCTCGCCGCATCGGATTCGATACTCAGCCTAGTCACGAAATTCTTCAGCTCGGGAAGTTTCTTCAATGATGGATCACCTTTAAATGCGGCATTCTGCCAAAGATTCCAACAGATAATATAAAATTTAAGATAAATTTTGACTGAGCTCTACGAGACAAACCAACCTACATCTCCGGACTAAGTCCCCAGAACAGGTTGATAACAGAAGAAAGAAAAAAGAAATCATATTCCTTACCCAATTGAACTCCAATAGATACTCAAAGTCGTTAATCATTGAGGCAGAGTAGTCCACGTTTGCGATAACTTGTGCTAGATCATAAACCAGACCATGATTCGTCGAAGAAGTTGCTACTGAAAGATTCAACACTATACCCACAATTGGAGCTAGAATCATCGACCTGTTTATTTTCTCTAGAGATTGGCCCTGCTGCCTCAGCGCACTGCACGGGAAAACAAGACGGAGGCAAGCCAAAACAAATCATAAATAGGAGAAATTCCCAAAGAAAAATAATTAAATATGTCAAAAATTCACGAATCTTAGTTTCCTGCACGTTCGACTGCAGACGAAGCAGCGTATTCTACTAGAGTAACAACCCAAGATCTAGATAAAACAATAGTCAACTTTGTGAGAATTTAAATACGCTGCCAATACTCCGTTCCATACGTGTGACTTGACTGTCATGTACTAGAGTTATGGATGAGAACATGCCTGTCAAATATTTGTGCATCTGCGCTGGAAGTGGTATGATTGAGCACGAATATGATGAGCTCACAAAGTCTGACAAGATTCATTTCAGCACCAAGCAAAAATGCATGTGACAATTCCTGCGTGAAAAACTCCAGAATCCTCTCGAGGTTGCACGAAAGCTCAAACATAATTGCACACTTCCGTTGCTGGAGTTCTGGCACCTGAATGGGCGGGGTTCACAAACACAATCACAATTACTTATTGTGCTCAGCAGTTATAAAAGCACCAGGTACAGTAATAAGCATACAGGAGGGTACAATCCTCTAGGTTACAATTTTAGATGTTGAAACTTTCAATAAGCATAAGCTGCCATGTCTCTCAACGAGATGGGTTTCCCCTCCTGTAGCCTGATGTCTACTCGCTCATGGACACCATGACGACTTTGGTATACTCACAGTTCATTGAGTACAGTCAAAAGACATGCAAATAAAGGCAACCAGTATCGCGACTGGACTAACAGAAATAGGGCCTCTACAACATTCTCATTCTAAAGTAACGGTTGCTTGCTATCTGGCTTTGAACCTTAGATAGTCAAAACCAGCAAAAGAACTATTTTCGATTCTCCATTAGGACATGCAAAAGCGGTTGAACTCCAGTATCTTATTGATTCATGCCACTAGAGACTTTATTTGAAACGAGATTCAGAAATTAAAAAACTGTACATATAAAAAAGATCACGAATGCCGATTTTATTCAACAAAACAGGGATGTGGGTCTCATTATCATTACCGGACACTGGCGCTCAGCAAATTCCTGCATTTCCTTGATCACGACTGAGAACTCAGTAATGGTCCAGTTGAGAGTGTTGAATAAGCGATTAAGAAAAGAGGCGAAGAGTTTTTCGTCTGACAGACATTTCTCCTTCAGAAGTTGCTGCACAAGCTAACAAATTAATACCGTGAATAGCCTTAAAAATGAGTATGAAGCGAACTTATGAACAAGTGTCTATGTGAGAAAAATTACTTGCTTAAAGAGAAGGGAGATCTTTGAAGTCATCACTAAAGTCGTCTTCAAGTCGTCGGTAAGAGTACAATGAGAGCAAGCATTCTCACGACTATACAGTGCAAGAAGCTGGTGATGCGAATTTCAAACAACTAAATGACATTTGAAGCAAGAAACCAAATCACTCACCTGGAAGAAAGATGAAAATGACTCCCCATGAGGATAGCATTTTGACGCTCCAAAGCCAGCACCTTTACATAGGCGTAGAAGAATGTTGGAGACCGGTATCCAAAACCGATTATCGAAGGCAGCAAGCAAGGATCCCACCATGCACTCTCGTGCAGCCTTGCATTTCTCAAACGCAGCAACATGCTCTTTGTACTGTACCAAAACTGATATTGATTGCAAAAGAACGTCTCTAATATCTGGATTGGCTATCCTTGAGTCACTGAAGTGTGTCACAAGGAAGGTTACCTGCATCAACAAAACAGCCAAAGTTTACTGTAGGATTACTCATGAGGCAACCACAGACCCCTCTTTGACAAAAGAAGCTATAACAAATAACTAATATCAGCAAGTCATAGCAAGATCCAAACCGTTTTGTTACAAACCTGTTGAATTCGTATGACCATAACACCCTGCCACTTCAAGCTAGATATTGACTTGACTATACGACATAAATGTTTATATTTAGAACTGGGCGGATAAACAAACGGAGAAAAAACTCTGGACAGTAGCTCAATAAACACGATATGGGCGGAAAGAGTATACAGCAGCTGGAAAAGCTTGAGAAAAAAAACAGTAAATGCCAACAAATTCGGGTTGTACGCTTGTGCCTGCCGATGTGAGACTCTAATCTGATGTAGTGTTGGTATACTAAAAAAAGCCATTGCAGATATTGACGCACGGTTCCGCCTATTTTACGTGGTCAGTATAGGTCCTGTGAAAGACAATGATTTGAATCGAAGAAAGGAGAAGCAGCTGTAAGTAGGCAATCAACTTCAAAATCCAGACAACCACAACATACCAATGGAGAAAGTCCTTGTTGCAACAAGGCAGAAGTTGGATATACAAACGGTGGATCACTCCTCCGAAGAGCATGGAACGAATCCACCTATAAAAGAATAAACCACATTGTCTGAGCATAACAATGGAGACATAAATTTCAACAAACGACGTACAGTTAACAAATATCAAGTCTTAATCATAGAGAAAACAAGCCTGGATAAAATCAGCATCAGATCAGCTAAATGAGAAAAAATCTTTCAGACTAGATTGACAAAGTAATTCACAACGCGAGACGAGATCAGAAAGGAATAAGTTAAATGACAGCAGTCGCACCAGAGTTTCCACATAGAATTCTGGTACGTAACCAAATAAATTATCTCTTTTGCTGAACACAAGTAGAAGTTGTACGATCCACATGCACGTTGCGTACATTCCTCTCTGCTTCCACCTGGAGAAGAACGAAACCCGATACCTGTAGGAAAGAATTTTCAGTATCTGAGACGAAACAGAAGCCCTTGTGAGCATTGTAACATATTAAAAGAAATCTTAGCGACCAGAGAAGTACGGTGATCATCCCGTGTTGCTTCTACGAGTGGTATCCTTGGCAAAGTACATATACTTCACGAAGGAGAAGACTGTAGTGCACAGAAGTTGAGAGTTCGCAAATTTACCATGTACACCTTCGAACACATTCGATCAGCTTCTCCCGTGTAGCAGCTCTATCCTCCTTCAACTTCTTCAAGCCACAGTCACTCGACGCCTTATCTGTTCGTATCTGGCGGTCGATATCCTCTAGCTGTGATATCAACTGCATCTGATGCTGCATGTCGAAAGAAGCCTGAAAAGCGTTGCCCAAGATTTCTAGTAAGTACACATAGACTCTGGAATCGGTTTCTCCCAGCACAGTACATCACTTATCTTCTGCTGCGGTTGACCTTCTTAAAGCTTCACGATCTAATTTTCCCAAACGTGGACAATCGTCCTCAAACAACCGCTTATCTTTCTGAAAAATCTGAAATATTTTCAGGGGCCGTACGAATGTAGAAAAACACCAATGGAAAACCTAATAATCTGGAGGAATGATCACAAAATTCCCCCATCCACTCCATGTAGTATATTAACGGCAGATCACCTGTGGAGTCTAATCCAGCGCACCTTCTTTGTCTGGCTAGACACTGTTCCTAGGGAATGGATGCTAGAGGTAATCCTTCAAGCATCTTCTTCTCACCTCCTAAAAAGTAAGGTCTAAGATCATCATTTTCGTCATTTTCGCTAGTTCCTTCTGTAAGCCTTACTACTTTGCACATTCCGTGCTTCTTTTTCTCAGAACTAAGTTCCGCGGATAAACTTTGAAATTTTCTCTAGAATTTACCATAAGTACCTGCTTGAAGTTGGAGCCAAGCCCCAGATGATATAAAAGTACCAGCATATCCAGCAACTCTTCTTCTCTGATAGCTTCGGACAAGTCCTTAATCGTCTTGAAACCAATCCGTTCATTCTTACGGACTGGTGAGTATCGCCTGCTCAAAAGTGCATCCACCCTTCCACTAGAGCTAGGTTTATCTTCTTCCATATCGTCACAATGTCTATTACTGCATTCGCTGCTGATTGAGTTACTCCTTTCGCTAACACTAGTGGACTGGCGAGTGGCGCACTTCTCAACATTGCCCTTCATTTCACAGTGAGTCGACGCGTTGGAGGCTAAGTCTAGACAACAAGCAGGTTTGCATTTGCCTCCATGCTTGACCACAGTCCCTCCATCATCCATGTCACTTTCTTCCCACTCGACCTCCGCATAATCTTCAGAAGAAACAGGAAGCGTTTTGGACAAGTGACTGAAAGTTCCACCAAGGCGTGCAAAATCGTAAGAATATCCATTCTCTTTGAGAAATAAGCTGACTGGAAATTTGCGTTTCTCCGGCCTGTGCAGAAAGCCAGCACACATGTCTTGCTGCTCTTTACCAGCGTCTCCAGTGTCCCCATTTTTGTGTCCTTCAAGACCTTCCGACAGAAATCGCAGCAGAACGTAGTAGGCAGACACTAGAACAGAGTTATCCGAAAGACCTGGAGGAGGCATGTTCCTATTTGCGCCACTATTTTTGCAAATCAGATTTCGCAAAAACTTCCCAAAAAGCAAGCCAGGTACTTGTGTTGAGGACGCCACGACTGAGCCACTCGGTACGGGTGGAATAAAGTGCAGCAAAGTTCTACAGAGTTCCCAATGTAACTCTTCAACCTGAGGAAGGATATATGAAAGAATGGTAGTCAGCATTCGAAAATTTCGTAACGCAAGCTGCCTCGGAATCACATTTGAATCCTGGTCTGTCTCAGTGTGAATTGACATATGAAACATCTCTTACTCACAAATGCCACCAACAGAAAACCAAAAACAAAAAACCTCATAATGCTCTAGGATTGCTTCTAACACGAAATCACGTCAACCAATCTCACGAGGCGTAACCTAACGAGGATATCAAATTTGTTACTTTGTATAGACTAGCGCAAAATGACCGAATCAACACATCGAATCGCATGCGTAGGGTTAGAGAGTCTACTTTGGCAATCGCTTTGGCTAAAGCTGAAGCTGCATGTCTCATTCTGGACTCCGAACACAAATCTTCTCGAGAACCATGCCACCAGACCGTTGGCATGAGAGCTTCGTAGTCATATTTATTTGGCACTTTCCTGGTGAGGAGGCCTTCTAAACACGATTCGAGGTTTTCTGAGCTCCACCACCGTGCCATGAAATCATAGCGCTCTAAAAGGTGGCACGCTAGGGCCAGATAAGCATAAGAGCCGGTATATGGGTAGTCCGTCAACGTGAAAGGAGAGGTTCTGCAACCATATGCCAGTGCTTCCATAACCATTTCTACTCCACGCTTGTCCAGGCACGGCAGTAGAAAATCGAGAGCGTGATCTACACTTGGACTGTCGTGAGGAGCTTCCAACCTGAATGTGTCCATCAAGAGGGGTACCAAAGAACCCCATATGACATATTCGGCCATAGAAGGTGAGACATCGTCACCTAAACATTCAGATCCGACATCTGTGCAGATGAGAGGCTGGACCAACTCCATAATCATGGCACCAACCGTCAATGTTTCGCCTTCGCTCAGAGGAGTGAACCTCTTCAACCTTTCGACAGGCGCCATTGCGGCAGCCACTTCTCGACTTCCAAGCTGTACGAGCCGCTGCAAACATCCGAGCAGGTAGTTTGCTCTACGAGCAGGAGACGCAAGCCCGTCTTTATCCCTGTCTATGTGCACAGCTGGAGGAGACTGAATTGGACAAAAACCCTTCACAGGATACTTGAACGGCCTCCCACCAAAATTGAGCTCACATCGTTCGTGATGTGACAAGGAAATCGCAGGGAAGTACCCATCTTTAGGTTCGAGTTTCTTCACGCCCTCGAATGCGACTCCTAAAGTAGTACCGTTTCTGTAGAAAGAGATTTGGCCCGCATCCAGGTCAATGCAACACCCGATAACATCCCCTGTGACCCAAAGTTGCCCGTATTCCCAGTAATGTTCGTTCCACTTTCGGATCCTCTTACCATCATACGCATACGAGTCCTTGGCATCCCCAACACCTTTTAGATGGGTAAAGGGGCAGGAAAGCGTAGCCCAACCCAGTTGCTGTATACCTGCAGTTCCTAGCGTGGCCTCGAACATCCACTTTCCCTTCCAGACACAAGCATTGGCCCGGGCACTGCTGAAGATGGTCTGACTCTCGAGCGACAAGCATGTCTTGTCGAATTTGATGTTGCCAGACGCACTGTCTACGTCCATCATTACAACACCAGGGCCCATACGGCCTTTCAATATAAAGACTCCATCTAATTCCCCGGCCGAGGTTTCATCTGAACGTTGCAGACTAGTCAATCTAGACAGAAGATACAGTTGCACGGCAGCAGGATCGATTCTCGTCCCGTCCGTCGCAGGGTCTGTTAAAGGGTAACTTGTCCCACAGCTAGGTATATCCAGCACATGGGCGAGGGTGCGTTCCAGGCCACTCGCACAATCATCGAGCATACAAGTCGCAGCTGTTACTACACTCCCGCTTTCTTCATGATCTAAGACGACGGCCAATCCCGAGGACCCCAGATTCTTCAGTCTGCGGCCTCTACTAGATTCACCATCAGTCATCGTGCTCAAAACCCTGTCTCTCTTGGCTTGCAACAGCTTCTCCAATACACATTCGATCGCATAATTCACCGGCATGCGCAGAATTCTGTTATAGGGCGGAATCTTACGATTCCTTTAGCTACAGGCCTCGATTGTTACTCTCCGTCATCTGCACGGGATCATGCGTCTGACAAAATCCAAATCTGCCGGTGACAAACAAGATGCTGAAAATCGAGAAATTCGATCCCACGGGCATGCCGACTTTTCGAGGAAGGCAGTCAATAGCGTGGGCAACAAGCTTCACCTTGCCGACGGGAAAACGTCAATTGATTGCACTCATGGTGCTCAATTGCAGATGACTCGATCCTAGAAAGCCTGGTAGCAGCAGATTTTACGAAGGTCTTCCCTCCGAGAAACAAACCCAAGGCAGAACGTGACGAAATCTGTCAGATTCTGTGCTGCGATTAACTCCGAGAAGATTGGAAAAGCGGGCTCCCAGCGCATCAGCTTCTTCTTCTTCTACTACTGCTCGTCCCCGGCGATTTTCGCTTCCTCCCCGTCGGCAGCAAGTTTGTTCCGAACGACTAATCCGTCTTTCCACCAGCGCTGCACTCTGTGACATCTGAGAACTTCAACAGCCTCGCAATTACCTGCCTCCTGCTTCTGGTCCTCCTCCTCCTGCTCCTCCTATTCGGCCTCCCTTCCTCTCTTCCCGTCAATCGGCCGAACGAACTCCTCATACGCTAACTTCCGTCCTCGTTCCGGGAGGCCGGTCGGCCATTCATTCATCCCTTCATCAGACACACACCTTCACCCTTTCACGGACCGGTCACAAACACCAGCAATTGCACCTACACCAACAAACCCGCAGCTGCTGCCGAACACACACCTTCATCAACCTCCGACAGCAGCAGGAGCAGCCCGCCCCCGTCCTCTCACACGGCCCGACGGACAACAAGAAGGAGAAGCAAAAGGCGGCGTCCTAGCCCAAGCAATTCGACTCCACGCAATCTCCCCTCCCTCACTCCTCCACTCCCCTCCCCTCCCTCTCACTCGCAAACAGAATCAATCCATCAATCGCCCGCAATTCACATCACAATCACATCCACGAAATTCCTTCGCTCTCGCTCTGCTCTCGCTCCTTCTCCTCCTGCGGTGGACCATCACGTTTCATGGTCCTCCTCCTCCTCCCCAACCACACCGAGCAAAGCCACTGTGCGGCACCACCACCACCACCATCACCTTCCTTCCTTCCTCCCTTCCTCCCTCTCTGCGACGACTGCCTCTCCGCGCTCGGCCTCCGCTCCCTTCTCTTCTCTCGAAGCAAGCGCAGAGTCCTCCGCTGCCTCTGCGCCCCTCCTCCTCCTCCTCCTCCTGCTCCTCGTCGTCGCGCTCTCGTCTGCTTCTTCTTCTTTCTTCCGAGGCACCCTTCGCCCTCCTCCTCCTCCTCCTCCTCTTCGTCGTCGTCGTCGTCGTCGGCCGCGCTCTTCTTTCTCCATCTCCCGCAGAGCGGAGCGGAACCGATCGGAGCGGGCCGCGACGGCTATGACGAACGTCTCGCGGAGCGGGCAGCGGGAGGCGCGGCGCGGAGGAATCATAAAATTCGGCGGAACCTCGAAAAGGAAAAAGTCCCGTGAACCTTCTTCGACGACGACGACGACCGACCGACGGACTGACTGACTGACTGACGAAAGCAGCCTCCGTGCGCCAGTCGAGGGAAAGGAAGGAAGGAAACCGACGACATCCATCCCCTCGAAGCCTCATCTACCGTCGATCCTTGAATCGAACGGCGACCGGAACCTCCTCCCTCCGTGGATGGAAACTCTCGCCGGGTTGACAAATCGGAATTATTGAGCGACTCGGAGATATGCGTCAGCGCGGGGGGTGGGGGAGGCTCTCCTGCGCACGTGTCGTGTTCTGGTACGCTCGCGCCTTTTGCATACGGGTGCGACTTGCCTTCGCTCTGTCGCACGGTACGGGGAACAGCCGTTTGGGGGCGACCGGCACGTGGCCGATGCTGCTGACTATTTGCTCCCGTCTCCCTTCGTCTTCTTCCATTCACGAGAGAGAGTCTGTCGAGAGGTGACTTCCCATTCGCCCCGAACCGTCACTTGCCTGCGCAGCGCAAAATATTATGATTACTATAATCGATAACTAAACCCGAATTAATAATAATAATAATCGCCAATCGGTGGTCGGTAGCAGGCAAATACACCGGAATCAAGGAATAAAATCTTTGACTGTAATCCGAGCCCCGCCCCTCGACCTCATCCACGAAATCGTGTGTCCTCGTGCGTTCGATTCTTCTGGTCCTTCCGCGGCTCTTCTTGTCCGGCTGCTCTGTTGATTTGAACCTCGTTTGGCTAAACTTAGTCAAACCTCGCAGCGCAATCATGTGCCTCGTTCCCCCGAGAGCATTAACGGTCCCCCCTCCCGGTTATTCTAAGGTTTACTCGCGTTTCCCCCCGAGCCATTGACATTCCCTCTCCGCTCTTTTTGCTTCGCATCGACGTAACTTCCAAATTTACTCGTGGCTGTACTGTAGTCCATCGGGGTAAGTTTTTGGGTACCTTGTACGCTTTTTGGGTTACCCTTGTGCTTCCTCATACCCCGTAGCAAAGGGTACGGGGCCTGTTGAGACCGTTTCCATGGGTTTGCTGGTCCCGTTCTGGTCTGCGAAGGGCCGTATAGTGTCCTCCGTTGACGTGCTCTGATGCGGTCGATGGTCACGAAGAAGGGACAAGAAACGTAGCATGAGAAAAACGAGAGATTTGGCCGGCACAATGCAATGCCGCGTGGAGGTCGTTGCGCAATGCAGTTGCAATCTTTGGGACGAATATCGTCAGTATTGCTTTTCAATATAATGGGCAGAGGAGCATGTTCATTTTGTGTATACCAGTTCTGTAATTGTTAGTGCAAAACCGAGCGAGAAGATCAGTTAAGGCATGACTATGTCAGAAAATTTCAGTGAAGGGAGGGAAGCGTTGTGCATTAGTATGGCGGTCAGGTTGAAACAGTGCAACAATGGATGAGAGAGTTGTATGAAGCACGTGGTCAGATAACAAATTTGATGTGCACAAAATGATTTTTCAAATTTATATTAATTCTGGACAGATTTCTCAGACAAATCACCATCATCTTTAACCCATGCTTGCATAGTTCTAAATCACACATACTTACTCAATTCAAAAAAATAGATAAATGTATTACTGAGATTGAATAATGAGCTCCGCCGTCATTTCAAAACCAGTTTTGTGGACTATTTAAGCAATATTGTATCTGATGAATGCTACAAGTATGGTAAATTTCATCAAAAAAAATTTCATCGTTTCATCCTAAATTTCATTACAACCACCTAATGTGTAATGCATTCGTCTTGTTAACTTAACAAAGCATGGTCTTTATTTACTTATCACTTTTATTGTTAAATGTTTGGATACACAAAATTTTTAAAAAAATCTACACTTTCTATAACTAATACAATTTGTAAAAAATTTCCATTATATATTAATGTTTCAAACTTAGTTGCTAATGTGACAAAGGAGAAGAAAAAAAATTTATTCAATAATTTGACACTCAAATTAATTCAAATATATCATCCATTCACAAAATTGATTAGATATGCATATTTTTGCTCAAATTTTCTCAATCAGAATTCAATACTGATTAATAAAATTTAAATGAGCAATAAAATTTACTATTGTGATACACATGTTAAAAATGTTATTTGTGAATGTCATGATATGTATGTATATTAAAACAAGGGATTAACTTCAAACACGTTTTTTAATATTTCTAATATAAATATTTTAAGTCAATTAAAAAAAGTTGAACTGACAAATTTTTTTTGTTGCTTATTCTAATTCGATTGCTTTAAAAAAATGATTTTAGTAATTTCAGTAATAAATTGTACTTTGCAATATCATTTAATTGCAGTAATAATTATATATTTTTATTATTTGTGAAATCTGTTGATTAGTAGTATAAATTATATTTCTTCTTCTTTGGGTTATAAATATTTAAGTTTTAAATTTTCAAATGTAAAAATATTATAATTCTTGAAGAATATTTGTAAATCGATGAATTTTTTTTGAAATCCTATCAAATTTGTCATAATGCTATTACAATCCTGTCATTTGATATACAAAATTCATAGATAAGTTATGAATTTTAATTTAGAAAATCAATATTTCATTTTTTAATTAGTGTAACTACATCACATATTTTTTGCAATTTTTGTAAAGATGGATTTTTTTGTTAATTGCAATATTTAAAATTTATTCAAGAGATATTTAATACACAAAAAATGCTTTTATAAATAATTCAGACATGCTAGTTTCATTCAATATGATTTATTGAGAATTAAAATCTTATATATTGTTTTAATCTACAATTATAAATTTTGGAAGCATGAATGGCTTCATAATGTGTATGTTTGGTCAAATTTGGTCCTATATGTTATCTAAATGATTCATAATTTGAACTACTTGTTTCATTTTTTCATTAAATTACCCAACGCCTAAACATCATGTAATCACAAAAGAGTTTTTTATATGATTGTTTAATTAACTACGTCTTTTTCTTTTTTTGAAGATTATCTGAATACTAAAAATTTAATCTATATGTGAACATAGGTTTCAAAAGATACATTGATTTCAATTTTAACAATCATCTACGACAACAAAATAAAATGTTCAGTTAATTTTTTTAAATATTCCTCATTGCATATTTTTCTATCATATTCTTACTCATGTGTGTTATGCTTTTTGATGCATCGACATACAATGATGTAAACTTATGCAATCTTCAAAACACCTTCTGACTATTTTAAAGTACAATTTGAAACTCTTAATATGAATTCTCATTTCATATTCATGCTTCGTCTTACCATAACTTGCTCTTGCAGACTTTGGCTATAACTAACTAAGAGATCAAAAAATCTATGTATTCAAAGTTCAATGCATAAACTTTAATGTATTAGCATGCTAAATTATTTGTATTTTTTTATCATATAAAATAAATAAGAGTAAAACTTTTATTTTAATACGTAAATGATTATCGATGAAGTTGGATATTTCATTCCTACGTTGTGTGTAAAGATGAAAAAATTATGTTGCAAATGTGATGACTAACGTATATATATATCATATGTGTGTATATATATATATATATATATATATATTATCTTTCACAACACTTACATTTTGAAACATATTATGAAATTATTATTATTATATATTGTATAAGATAAAGTGTATTAAATTTTTTAAATGATTATTAGGTTAAACTATTATTTGCAAATTAAATTAAAATAAATTAATATATTTAAAATGAAATCATTTATTTCAAATAAATAAAAAATTTATTTATTATTATCAAATTTATATTATACTGCTATATATATACAGTTATAAAATATATAATTAAATTTAATTATTTCAGATTAATAACATTTACACTTATTTTAATTTTATTTAAGAACAAATTTAAAAATATATTTTATAAGTAAACATAATGGAAAAAATCAAATTTATAATTATTTTTATATAATTAAAAATAATAATTTTAATTAACAAAAATGTGTTGCAATAATTTTTTGAAATAAATATTGTTTGAAAAAAATCAATCAGATTTTAAAATTTCAACTTTTTGTCAATAAACTACACAATTACTAACATAAATCTTTACTTTATGTCAAATTTGAATCCAATTAAAATATTCTTATATGTTTTTGAAGTTGGTAGTTTTTACATTCATTTGCATTCTCTTTCAATTTAAAGTAAATCATTATCATATGTTTTAAAATTTAATAAGGTTTTTGTTTGATTAACAATGATCATATGAACATGATTTTTTAACGGTTAATTATTCAATATTAAAAAAAAAGATAAAAATGAAAAAATATTGCAACTTTAAAACTCAATAATGTTGAGGTTAACTATGGTTAAGGAGTAACTTCAGGTTATAGCTATTTATAGCTATGTGTGTCCCTGACGTGGGGTATAAATATACCCCAAGGTTTCTACTCGGGTGTGCATTTGGTATTCAATTGTCAGTAAATCTTCTCGTGTGCTTCAACCGTTGACGTAGCCCTCGAGTATGAACCACGTTACATGAGTGTCTCCTGTTTTTGTTTGGCTTGAGTCCTGTTTGTGTTTGGCTTGAGTGATGCTTGGTTTTACGTTTAAAAATTGGTATCATAGCGGGCTTACAAATCGGAGTAGTATCCAAGTTTTTGTTTGGTGTTCTTTCACTTACAAGTATAATGAAAAGCTAGTTTTATTTTCTGCTAAGTTTGTTAATAGGAAAAAATTTCAGTTTCATAATTTTGTTGAAAGTTTTTTGTAGGTTTAGAGTTTTTTTCAGAACTCTGTAGACAGTTTTCAGGCTTTTGATTTACTTTCTGAAAATATTTTAATACAAGAAATTTTCAAATTTTTTTCCTGTGTCAGAATTTTGTCGACAGTTTTTTCTAGTCTTTATGTTTTTTCAAAACTTCGTAGAAATTTTTGCAGTTTTTTGTAGTCTTAGAGTTGTTTCCAAAATTCAGCAGACAGTTTTCAAGGTGGGGTAGACACTGATAAAACATTTTAATCATGTCTATATAAGTTGTTTACTGTGATTGAAGCTTTGATGTTAGGTTGTTTAATGTTTAATAAGAATTTTCCACTGATGGGAGATTGTTGAGGAGTAACGTCAGGTTATAGCTATCTATAGCTAGGTGTGTAGCTGACTTTGGGTATAAATA